TGCTTCGAATCGTGCCGGTGAACAATGTTGGATCTGGATGGTGTCAGAAGATGCAATATTCAGAAAGACAAAAAAGCCAGCTTACCTTGTGGTACCATGACGACATTCTCGCGCAAGTCGTGAAGGCCAATCAAACCAATGTCAATATCGTCGATCAAAATCTTTCCCTGCTCAGCCTCCAACGCTCGGAACAATGCAAGCGCCATGGAACTCTTTCCAGCACCAGTCCTGCCGACAACACCAACCTTCTCTCCAGGCTGGATCTTGAAGGTCAAATTCTTCAACACAAGATCAAAATCACTCCTGTATCGTGTGCTGTAGTTGATGAATTCTACAGAACCCTTGCTTGGCCAGTTAGAAGGCGGTCGGTTGGCTGGGATGACTGAGGGAGCTTCTTGATCTACGTCGAGATATTCTTTGACACGCTCGACCGAGTTCATGTTTTGCTCGTTAGCGGAGTAAAGTCGCACAAACCACAGCACATTCTCGGTAAAAGTAACAGCGTAAGTAAGTGCCAAACCTGCTGCACCTGCATCGATACGTCCAACGCTAAGGACGACAAAGGCTCCAGAAAAGAAAGCAACCATAGCGCCAACCACGTCTACTCGGAAAGCGAGCCACCTGTTAGCGGCCCACAGATAGATGAAAGGACGATGCTGAGTATTGATCTTGTTGAGGTTTTCGCGAATGAAGCGTCGCTCGTCGCCATAGGCTCGAATAGTCGTCATGCCGGATAGTGTCTCGCCAAATTGCTGATAGAGGGGGCTTCGGTGCACGGATTCTAATCGCTTCAGGTCGCGCGAGGAATTGATGTAGAACCTTCCGATCATGAAGTAGAGAATGGAAATGAAGAATGCCGCAATCAAGAATCCAGGCGTAATAACCGAGATAAGAACGACAATGGTAATGATGGAAGCGAAGCAATGAACGACACCGATAGCCACTGGCGCCACTTCTTGATCGATAGACTCAATATCCTTTGAAAATCTGTTCATGAGTTGACCGAGGGGGGTCTGATCAAAGAAACGGAATTTTGCATGCGTAACCTTTTGGATCAGGCGCTCGTGCACTCGTCGTGATGCTACGAGTGAACCGCCGAAAAGGAAGCCCTCACGCAGGAACGTGATTAGCATGAAGACAGCTCCCAGGATGGCGTAGACGCCAAGGAAATAGAGAGAGTTAACCTCTGGGTCAGAGGCCCCAAATGTGGTCTGCATGGCATTGTAAGAGTACGAAGGCTGCTCCGGTTGACTGAAGAATGGAAAGTTCCAGCTGCAAGTACCACTGTTCGTGCATGTTCCGACACCACTCAGCGTTGGAACATGAGTGACAGGTGAGCGATGGTGGTTGCCATTTACAGCGTAGCCCTTGTCTGCGTATGCGTTTGCCCAGGTGCGAATCCACAGATTTGTAGAAACGGAAGAGATCTGCGCTGCAACGAAAGCAATAGTGGCACCAACCCAGTAGTACCACGGGCCCATAGCTCGGAGATACATCATGATGATACTTAGCTTCACACCGCCCTCGGCTTTCGTCTCTTCTTGGCTGTTGCTGGCTGGCACCTTCTTAGTGTCAGCCTTACCGTTGAGAGTGGTGTTGGCACTGTCAGCCTCGCCATTTGCCTCTTGGTCACCTGAAGGAGCTTGAGATGGAGGTTTCGATGCGCCACGTGAGGCAGGTCGTGATTTAGTGAGATCTTCGGTGAGCTTTCCGGAACTGATGACTTCATCTGCAGTGCCTTGTGCGACTATGCGGCCGTTTTCAAGTACTACTGCGAACTCGGCATGGGGCAGGCAGAGACTGACGTTGTGCGTGACAAGAATACAGGTCCGGTTTGCCATGAGTCGGCCATGGAGGGCATAGTGGAAGATCCACTTGGCAGTATGAGCGTCAACGGCGCTTAGGACATCGTCAAGGAGAACATGGCGGGCTTTGCTGTACATTGCACGAGCGAGTGAGATGCGTTGTTTCTGGCCTCCAGAGAGTGTCACACCTTTTTCGCCAACAACTGTTTCATCACCACCATCAAGAATTTCAAGATCTCGCTTCAAACAGCAGATATCAATGACTTCGTCGTAGCGCTTCTGGTCCCATTCGCTTGCGAAGACAATGTTTTCTTTGACGGTGCCATTGACTAGCCAGGCTTGCTGAGCACAATAAGCTACACTCTCTGTGAGGCCAGTCTCAGGATCAGGGGTAAGATCTTCTCGGCTGACCCCTCCAGGCAAATAGACTTCACCTTTTAGTTTTGTCATCTCACCAAGCAGACCCATGAGCAGGGAAGTCTTTCCCGAACCAGTCGGACCGACGACAACATTGAGTTTGCCGGGTTGGAATTTCACGTTGAGATCGATAAGCTTAAACGCATCTGCGGCAGCTTGGTCTGCCATGTCTGTACCGCCCCAGCTGAAGGTACCATTCTCGAATCCAATTAAAGGCTGGCCATTTTCGTCCTTCTTTTGAGTAATGAGCTGCGAATACTTGTCTGTCTCTGGCTCCATCAGGTACTCCTCAATACGGTCGACCGATACTTTGGATTCTTGGACGTGTGCAACCATATCTGCAAGTTGATCCAGAGGAATCCTGAGAATCTGGAACAGTGAGAGAGCGGTGAAAGCAACTGACGGAATCAAGGCTTTGTGTTCAATATTGGTATAGACCAAGAAGGACAAAAACGTGATCAAAACAGGGGAGCCCGACCATATCGTGGCAGCCACAGCCCAGAGTATGTAGCGACGGCGCAGATGCTTCAGCTCAATGTATCGTTTCTCGTTGACCAGTCCAATGAAGCGCTGCTCCCAGGCGAAGAATTTGATGATTCGAATATTGGTGAGCACCTCGTTCGTAGTGTGGATTCGTGCATCGGTAGCAGCTAGAATAAGCTTCTGGATCTTGGCAAACTGTCCAGCGACATACATGTTGACTGGAAGGAGAAAGATCATCATGCCGATACCAGCAATTGAGCTGTAGCCCAAGATGCGGTAGAGCAAAAACACAGCGACGACGACTTGAACTGGTGTATTTGCCCATAGGAAGTGCAGATAGGCACATATCTCGCTAACCTTGAAAGCGTCTACAGCCATGAGGTTGATGATCGCACCGGTAGTGACCTGAGCATCGGATCCTGACACTGCTTCGTCCTCATTCTCGACGTCGGATGTATCGGACTTGTTCTTCTTCTTCTTGCCGAAATTGAAGATGCGCTTCAATCCCTTGGGCTGCTCATCCTGCTTATCTGACTCTTGTTGCTTCTTCTCCTCACCCAGCACCTTGTCAGTGGTAGCTCCCGCTCTGCGTTTCAAAGCTTTTGCGTAAATTTCTCCAATAATGACGGCTCGCAACCGAATGCAGATCTTGCGGCCAAGCCAGAGTGCCTGTCCATCAGCCAGCGCAGATAGAGAACCGGAGACGAAAAGTAGGATAACATAGAACCATGCGGCATTCGCCGGAGTCAGATCTGGCTGCTCAACATACTCGAGGATAACTTTCAAAAGCAGTGTAGGCGCAAAAGTGAGGAAACCAGAAATGGCAGCCCATCCTGCTTGGATGAGCAGGCCGCGCTTGAAATGCTTCAAAAGGTGGTAGGCTAAGCTTGAAGTCTTCTTGACCTGGCGGTATTTTGCAATGACGGCTGCGGCCTTGTCTTTTGAAGGTAGATTCCAAACATCGGAAAGCTCATATGTCTTTTTGTATCCCGTCCAAACAATGGGGTCGACCCAGCTGAAAGTAGCAAGGGAGAATACGCTAGCGATGGGTTCTCGCGCCGGGGCAATGTCTCCTTCGTATTCAAGATGTACGGTTTTATTGCCTTTTCTGGAGCAGAGGGCGATAAGGAAGAGCAGCGAAACAAGGGTGAAGTCGCCAATCATCAACTTCTGATGCACAGCGGATCGGGGATGGATGATTGCCGATCGGAAAAGCAAGATGCTGAAGACCCACTGGCAGCCATAGATGAAGGCGGTGTGATACCAGAGAGGTGGGAAAGAGAAGCGACTGGTGCTGGAAAAGAGCAGACGGAGCGAGGCAAGAAGAGCAACATAAGCCCAGACGGCGACACTAGCAATGGCGGCAATCTTGGCGTGGGCGCCCCAAGCATGGGTTACGAGTATGGCGACGTGCAGACCTAGCTGGGCGAGGACCGCGGCTTCCTCTAGGACGACAATGGTAAGTTGTCCGCGGGGCTTGTCGGCGGCGATGGTAGACATGGTCTTGACGGGGTGGAGGGCGAGGTCTTGGTGGCGGTCGAGCTCGTCGTGGGCATCGTCGTGATAGTCGTCGTTGCCATTATAGTTGGGGGTTCGCAGAGACCAGGGATTAGTGGCATCGTCGAGGGCGCTGTAAGCGTGGTAGTATTTGGAGGCAGTCGCAGCCGAGTAGAGCTGGCGCAGCAGGAAGAGGAGCGATATGGCGCAAACGATGAGCGGGAATAATGTCTGGAGATAGCTGTGGCGCGCGTCAGTTTTGGCGCCTTTTGTTTGCGGTGGTGATGGTGGTGGTGGCGCATAGCCAAACGGCGGTTTTAACATACTCGCGCTCGAAACAGGTGGAGAAGTCGTCTATCCCCCAGAGCGGGCCTTTACAGTGGGCAAACATGATGCCGGCTGCTGTTGTACGAGGCCTGCGGTGCGCAGCGGCGACAGTGATGGTGAAGGGCGTGTCCAATTGCGCCCAGGCCTTGCGCACTCGCTCTCAACAGTCACGCTCGCTCTCGTTATCGGCGAGCGGTGAGGCGCATCGGAGGACGGCAGCGCGACTCGACGGATATAAGCAGTAGTGGTGTCGAGGTGCTTGCGCGGCAGTAAATAAACGACGGCAGCAGAGCCTCTGGGCGCTCAGATGCACGGTTGACGCGGTGATGATTGCAGAGGAAGGCTGTTGCCTGCTCGACTTTCCCGCGCCTTTGCTACGATGACTAGTCGCCCCAAAAGCCTTTCCGCATGCGCACTGACGTTGATGAGCGCGAAGGCCGTTTGTGATGTAATCCGGCACTTTGACCGATTATGCCTTGGCGCCAGAGGAGATCCGACGCCTTCTACGGATATACGCCTGAGCCAATTGGCCACCACCACCACACCGGACGATACTGCCACAGCCACCAGATCAGACGTGCCGCCGCCATTCGACAAGTCCAGCGTCCCATCTGCCCCATGGCTGTTGTCGTTGCAGGCCCACGCGCAGCCGAGGCCACTCCCATGCGCCCTTTTGCATGTGTACGCCCTACGGCCAACTCCGGCGCCCCCCCAGGCCAGGTGTGTTTGTCACAGCATCGACCTTGTAACCATAACGGCCCTGTCCAACCACCATGATCGACTCCATCCAGTCCCTCGTCTCGCATCGCCCGCCCGTTGGCAGACGGTACCTACAGCAGCCAAGCAAACGGTAGGAGCGGCCCACACGCCACGGTGGGACTGCGTGATCCATTACCCCACAACTTAGCCCCATCTACAGCCCATGTATAAGCATCCCATATCACCTGTGACGCAGCTTGCAATCTCTGCTTTACCAAACCTACGCCTCTTCATATAGTCGTGTCCGAGTCGAGTGAGACGTGTGTCCCTGGATATCCTGATATCTCTTGCTGTGCTGAACATTCAGTACACCACCTCACGTTATACCAAACATGTACAAAGCCGGACACCTTCACTCGTCAAACAACGCCAAAAGAGATGAGTGGAAATCGAGTAAGAAAAAAAAGCTATGTACTGCATCTTGTTGACAGCAAGACTAAACTTCAAGTAAGACGACCAACAAAGTATACGACCAATCGGGACACGATGGCACGTGACTTTAGATTGGCAGTGATGACCTTCCATATCGTAGCATTGGTCACCTCCGCCACACAGCTCCTCCACAAGTACCGTGCTTACTGATCTCACATCCGCGCACTGGGCCCAACCGATGATCTCCACCCGCCAATCCAGTCCGATTGTCAAAGCTTGTCCTTTAACAAGTTTATAACCGCTGCACAGAAGACGGGACAGGTCTCCGGCTTATGGAGCCTTGCGTTCAGCCCGCAGCGAGGCCTCTGGCTTTCCTCTGCCCATTCCAGTAAACAAAATTTTCGCCAGCTATCCCCAAAGGAGTGAATTGTAAGCACAGCGCATTGGCCGTTGCGCAGTTGTTCATCTCCCTCAAATCCTATTGTAATTGCTGCGAAGCAACTCAATGCAATCAGGCAGGCCTGACTCGTAACCTTTATCAGCAATGACTGATAGTACTGTGTAAGTAAGCTGACAGTACTGTGTAGGTAAGCTGACAGTACCGGCCTATGCACCAGCGGACCCAAACAGCATTGGGTCCCCTCCCTCCTCATAAGCCAGCAGCCCATTTGTCAAGTACGAGATGGATCAGATACTGAGTGTGATATTTGCAACAGTGTGGAAAGGTCCTTCATTGTTCAAGCAGCTTGGGCGCTCCTATTACCATGACCAACGTTCATCGTCTAACTTCGAGAATCAATTCATGCGTTTTGATTGGGATTATCGCGAAGGTCCTACTAGGCCATCCCAGTCATTTCATCAGGGCAACGCACTAAAATCTCATCAATACTGTGCCTTGTCTTTGAAATCAGCCGCCTCACCACGCTCTAACGTTAATCGGTCTCTTCCACAGCACCTCCTGATATTCTAGCCTTAACGTGAACGATAATAGGGAGTATGCAGTAGGATATAACCTGCTGCGAAGGCGCCATCTATCACATCACAGCAATCGCTTGTTCCTTACCACCTACCCATTGTCACTCATTCATCTTGTTTTTTTGATAATATCTACTCCATAATGCAGCCCTCACCTGTGCTTGCAGCGGCACTTGTTGCCTTTTTTGGCCTTTCACCTGCTTTGGCCCTCCCTTCCAACACTGATGCTCGCAACGTCATCAAACGCGATGTAGCAATTATCGGTGGAGGCTCTGCTGGCATCAACGCTGCCATCCAACTCAAGGACGCTGGCAAATCGATCATTGTTATCGAGGCCCAGGAAGCACCAGGTGGTCACACGCACACTTATATCGACCCAGCTACTGGCATGAAGACAGACTATGGTGTCGCCATCTGGCACAACACCACAACCGTCAACCAGTACTTCCAGCGCTTCAATATTCCACTGGCCCCCGCATCGATTGCAGGCGTTTCAACTGTCACCGTTGACTACACGACGGGCAGTATCATCAACGTTCCTGCTAATCAGGTGCCTACTCAACAAGCTGTTGGTGCAGCACTGCAGAAGTATGCGGCCTTCCTGTCCAAGTATCCCCAGCTCGCTGCTGGCATGTTTCTACCCAGACCTGTGCCCCAGGAATTGGCCATGCCCTTTGGTCAACTAGTCAAACAACTCGGCATCGACGCAGCTGTCCCAATCATAATCCAAATCAACCCTGGCCTTGGCGATCCCCTCACTGTTCCCGTTGTCGAGATGGCCCGCGTCGTTGGCTTGTCCTTGGTCCAGCAAATCGCTGCCTCGAGCTTCGTCACAACCGCACGCCACTACAACAGCGAGCTCTACGAAAAAGCCGGTGCCGAGCTCGCTAGCAGCAACAGCATCCTGCTCTCTTCCCGCGTCGTCGCCTCGAACCGCAAGCAATCCGGTGTCGAACTTGTCGTGAAGACCCCCCAGGGCATCAAGTACATTTGCGCCAAGAAGCTCCTCATCGCCATCCCCCCTCGCCTGGAAAACCTCAAGGAATTCAACCCTACCCAAGCCGAGCGTAGCGTCTTCAGCAAGTGGCTCAGCACAGCCTACTTCACCAGCATCCTCTCCAACACAGGCCTGCCCCCTACCAAGCAGGTCATGAACGTCAACCCCTTGAGACCCGCCGGCCAGCCCGATCTACCCAGCACAATCTTCATCGGCCCCAACACCATCCCAGGCCTCTCTACCGCCTACTACCAAACCGAACGCCTGAGCACCCCAACCGCGCTCACCGACGACGACGTCAAGGCCCGCATCATTGCAGACATCAAGCGCATCCAGGCTGCCAACCGCGGCAACAGTTCCTTTGCTCAGACGGAGCCACAGTTCCGCGTAATCAAGGCCCACAAGCCTTTCTACCTACAAGTCTCCACCGAAGATATCCTGGCCGGCTTCTACGATCAGATGAATGCGCTGCAGAACCAGTTGTCCACATTTTACACAGGTGCTGCCTGGAGGGCCCATGATAGCAGTATGATCTGGGACTACAACAAGCAGATTGTTGTGCCTATGTTGCTCAAGAGTCTGCAGAACTAAGTAAAATCAAGGTGTGTGTCCCACCTTTTTTTTTCCTTTCCAGGGAGAGAGCATTGTATATTTTTCTCTTCTGAAGATGGACCAAAAAAATTGGCCACTGCTATAATGTATGAAAAATGTGATATCAGTCTATTTTCTACCATCTGGAATAGTTAATCGATATCACTTTATCGCTCGAGACTCTCTGCATTCAATAGCCCTTTTTATGACTTGATTCTGCTTTTTTTGTGTGTGTATAGCTGTTCGTTATATGGCGTAGCAGATGAATCAGTTCAGAAAAGAATGACAGGCCCACAAAAAAAAAGAAATTGCATCACCAGTTTACAATGTCAACATCTGAATTATGGAAGAGTTGAAATAAGAATCTCGTGTTCGGAAATTTCATAGTGTTGGCCGTGGACTGATCACCGTTCTTCCTTCGGCGTAATATAACAAATAAGCAAGCCACATTTTGAGCTTATGTGAGACGAGAACCTCGCCAAAGAAGAAAAGCAGCCACATGATTTCTACTGTATAAGACTAATACTGCGCATGTGCTTAGTGGAACGAAGAACTGGGGGTTTTGATGACTTTGCATAAGCGAGACAAATGGTGATTTCCCTATCTATGCACGAGGTTTGGCTACGGGGGTCCATGGGGAATACTTGTTCTTGACGCTATTTGCGTAGTCAGCAAAACAAGGAAATCCCTCGCAAAAGATTGCAAAAATGGAAGTGGGGATCTACAACGTACGTGCTGTAAGGCTTGTATCCGGATCGGCTCCAAGTAAGGGTAGGCCTGTGCTCCTTTGGCTCCCAGACGCGGATCTGACGCTGCAGAAGAGGATCCGCAGCTGGGGACTTGTCGACCATGTATGACATCCAAGCGTGCCTGTTACAAACCCAAAGTCAGAAGACGCTCCTTTGCAATGATTAGTACAGGGAGAGAACGTACCATCCGGGCTCTATCTGAGAACTGTGTAATTGCGCGTCAACATGATTACCGCGTTATGTCCAGGCGAAAACTCACGGATCAAACTCCTTGTCCTTGTAGTCTACCCAGCGTGTTCGCACTGTTCCATGCAATTAGCCACCATTGTTCCTCTTCCTGCAGTCTCCCCCAGTTGAGATAATGGTAGTTCTTACGCGGCAGCTCCTCCTCCAGATTCTCAAAGTACTTGTTGCCGTATCTATCCGTGCCAATCAAGGTTCCGGCTTTGGTATCACCTGCAATGCATCAGTCCCCCCGCGTTCTCCTGTATCCAATTGCACAGATAGCCGTGCACAGAGAAGGCGTACCAATGTTCTATTAAGAGCGAGAAACGAATCCATCAGTTTATATTCCGGGGAGAAGGCAATTGGAGGAGGGGGATTTCATGAGCGTACCGCCATTTGGTGGGCATAGTCCTAAGTCATAGTTAGTGATGATGCTACTGCGACAATGAAGCTAGGATAGAGAGCTTGCCTTGATTCCGATCCGGCGCAGGTTGCGCAGCGTTCTCATGAGCGTCGACATGGCGGCTGTGGTGCGAGCTGGGTGATGGTCGCTGGTGGCCCGCTCGTCGGACGTCGCTGAGGCGCGATTGATGGTGCCAAGACCGGCGCTCACGCTATACCTTTTTCTGAACTAGCTCGATAATGTCCTTCGTTTCCTAAAGTGCATCCGATGTTGATACTTCAGGACTTTCAACATAGATCAATCTCTCGACAGTGTGCAGCGAAGTTTCCGGGACGATGATAAGTCGAGGCTTGTTAAGAATTCAGGCGCCCCGGATTGCGGGCAAAAGAGCTTTTTGTCTTCCTGGGAGACTGGCCAAGACAACGAGGAGGTATTCGACTTCGACTGCGGGAATGACGTCGCAGGTGCCGCAGAGCCAGGCGGCGATGCTGGCAACGATCACTTCGGATTTGGATAAGATTGCTCCGAGGTTTGAAATGCAGCCCGAGCAGATTCAGATTATTCAGACGCCTGCTGAGTTTTATCAAACGCTGAAGGTAGGTTGATATTTCTTTCTCTTCTCTTCGTCTTTGCCTATCGAGTATGTAATATACGTTTGGTTGTTTTGTAACTGTTTGTTTCGTTCTCTTGTTTTGTGAATCCTCTACAAGATCAGAAGATTTGCATTCTTGGTCGTCAGGGCTCCTAAGTATATACCTCCTATTTCTTTATGTCAGGGAAATACTCTCAGACGAGCTACGTGGTAGCGTCTCACTTCTTCGTAACGCAGTAGCTTTATAAGATATCCCGTAGGAAATACGTGAGACAGCACAACTCAGCACTCACCATTCCAATCCCACTAACCCGCCCCAGGACAAAATCTCAAAAGCCCAACACAGAATCTACCTCAGCACCCTCTACATTGGAAAAACAGAACACGACCTCATCAGCACCATCCGCGCAGCCCTCACTAGAAACCCCAATCTCCACGTCTCATTCCTAACAGACGCCTTACGCGGGACACGAGAAACCCCAAACCCATCCACAGCCTCGCTCCTCGCCCCTCTGATCAGCGAATTCGGCGCAGAGCGAGTCCAAATACGCATGTACCACACACCCAATCTAACGGGTCTCCGTAAAAAATACATACCCAAACGCATCAACGAAGGCTGGGGCCTCCAACACATGAAACTCTACGGCATCGACGACGAAATCATCATGAGCGGCGCCAACCTCAGCGAAGACTACTTCACCAACCGCCAGGACCGCTACCATCTTTTCCGCTCTGCAGAATTGACATCGTACTTTGCCAAGGTCCACGACGGCGTGTCTGCACTGAGTTTCGACATCCAGCCGTCTGACGCTCCGGGCGCAGGCGGATACACAATGGCATGGCCTAGTAGCAACGCAGGTCCGAATCCCCTCGAAAACCCTTCTTCGTACAGAAAAGCAGCGGAAAAACACCTATCGCACCTGCTCACCCCTTCCAATTCTCCCCCCTCCGCATCTAATCAGACATCAAGTTCGAACTCAACAACAACAACAACAACAATCCACCCCATCCTCTCCCTCGTCCCCCTCCTCCCCTCCTCCACCGAACTTCCCGCCCTAACCTCCCTCCTCACCACCCTCTCCCACACCCCCAGCACCTGGACCTTTACAGCTGGCTACTTCAACATGACACCTTCCTTCCGCCGTCTCCTCCTCGCCACCCGCCCCTCACGCGGCACAGTGCTAACCGCACACCCCCACGCAAACGGCTTCTACGGTTCCAGCGGCGTAAGCGGCATGCTACCAGCTGCGTATACGCATCTGGCAAAAATGTTCCTGAGACAAGTAAGGTATCAAGGCTTAAGCGACAGTGTCGTCCTGAAAGAGTGGAGAAAAGGGAAAGTGGGGGAGGAGGGGGGGTGGACGTATCATGCCAAGGGTATTTGGGTTGCGCTACCTTCTTCTTCTGCGTCGTCAGCGGCAGCAGCTGGTGAGAATACCGACACCAACGACCCGTGTCTAACAGTCATCGGCTCCTCAAACTACACCAAGCGCGCCTACGAACTCGATCTCGAAGCCAACGTTGTTCTTTGTACGACTGATCCTGGCTTGAGGCGGCGGTTGGGCGAGGAAGTCAGGTGGTTGGGCGAGCATGCGACGAGGGTTGATGAGAGGGAGTTTGAGAAGGAGGACAGGAAGGTGGGGATGAATGTGAAGTTGGCGATGTGGGCGGTGCGGGTGCTTGGTGGGGCGTTGTAGGACGTGGTTGAAGGAGAGAGAGAGAAAAAAAAGATTATGTCGAAGCTGTAGATTGATACTTCTTCTTCTTCTTCTTCTTCTTCTTCTTCTGCAAGAGAAGCAGTGTAGGAATATGTATTATTAGTCAACCCCACAATCATCACATAAATTCGAAGATATGGAAAAGTAGATTCCACACATCGGGACTCTCTTCCCTACCATTATTCAGTATTATCCGTGAGCCATGTAGCGGGTATCTAGATATGGGGCATGAAAATGTGGAGTAAAAAAAAGGGGGGGAGCCAAGGTGAAAGTTTACAATTCCCCGCGCTCCTAATAGCTTAGTGTCTATCAGCCATTATGAAAACCTGGAAATCCCCGCCCCACTGTATAGCATCGAGTCTATCAAACATCCTTATACTCGCATTCAAATGATTCATATGTCGCGAGAGTAAAATGGCTGTACCTCACTAAGAAAGGGTCGAGCAATTACGGGTGGCCTTCCACACTACCAGGCCTCGATCGCCGACAACACGGTTGATGGTGTTCCAAACGCCGTCATCGGCAAAATCCATGTCGTCGAGGTTGAGGTGCTGTCGGTAGCTCCACACTTCTTCTAGCCGAACGTCATTCTGCTTAGTTGCGTCTTGATATGGCTTCAAGAAATAGGCAGACCGTGGTGCTACAAGATAGGTAGCACCTTGATCCTCAACCCGCGGGAGTTTTCGAGTTCGACAAGGCGGTAGCGCTTCCTTTACTCTTTCGAGCATCTGCTCACCCGGGCAGCCCATCAAATCCACAGTCTTGAGTTTTTCGTTCTTGCCGTTTAATAGCCAGGTGGGCGGACTGTAGGTTTTCCACCAAAACGCATGACTGATAGCTTCGTTGGTCTTGGCAATATTGATCTGTACAGGCACGATGCCGCCTTGGTGATACACACCCATCAATAATCCCAAAGCTACGTTGAAGATGATCCATGTCGCTATCCAAGGCTTTTTAAAGGGCGGGTTCGGTATGCGTATAGAGGATAGAACCAGGGGTACTGCGGGCAACAAGAAGCGCGCCTCTTGGTGTGGGAAGATGCTGAGTAGAGCAACACCAGACAGAGCCGATATCAGATTCATGGTGATGTGCGCTTTGCGCAGGGAGAATAGGAGCGGAATGGCAGGCCCAAGTAGTTGAGGAAGGTTGACAAGCAAGTGCTGATACCGTGGATGTATGCCATGCTGAGCGAGGTTCTCGGACTGGGAGTTGTAGAGGAAGTTGTTGAAGGGCGTAATGACGGGAGTAGTGAAGACTTTTGAAAAGGTAAATTCGCCTGGGGTATAAAAGGCCGTGTCAATACAGACGGCAAGGAAGACTGTCGCAAGAGCAAATGCAGCCAAGAAGACTAGCGAAAATGGCCTGAGGATGTCAGTATGGCCCGAGTGGCGCGAACGAGGGGTAGACGGACTTTCGCTGGAAGTGCGGTAGCAGTGTGGTGGCAGGCAGAACCAGGAATGCCGGAAAGGTAATACGATTGAAGATGCCGACAACAGCCATGAAGCCCAAGATGGACGAGGCTAGTATGCCGGAGCGTTTCTGCAAGTGTGGTTAGCCGCATATGCTAGGTGAGCGAGTGGCTGACGTAGCCATACCTTGTCACCAGTGATCCTCTGGATCAAAACCAAACTCCAGAGCACCAATAACGTTTCGAGGCTGTTTGAAAATGTATGCGTCTGGAAAGTCCATGTCACGTACGAGGATGCGACCAGGACCACGGCCATGCGTCTGGCGCGGGGCGACGCGACCAACTCGTGGATTGCCCAGTCCTCCATGACGACGCTCAGCGACAGCATGAGGACGCGCAGTGTCCAGTAGACAACGGACGGCGAAACGTCATATCCAGAGCCCTCCCATAGCCAGCGCAGGATGTACATGGGCCAGCCGTATGCAAGCCATAATGGGAAGGTGCTGCGGATGGGGTGGTCCGAGGTGAATTCCCATGTTTCGTGGACGGGGTAGGAGAAGACGCGTCCTGGCAATTGTCAGTGTGAGGGGCGACAAGTTTGGGTAAGTAGGGCAGGCAAGGCATACCAGCAACAACCTCTGGGCCCTGGAAGTTCTCGTCAGGGTGCAGGTAACTGGGCGACAGGGCAAAGTAGATGCGGACTAGAATGAGGAGAAAGTAGACTCTCCGCCACATGATGGCAGCAGGTTGGGGAAGCCGGAATGTGTAGTGGCCACGTCGCACAAGGGCATGTCTTTTGTGGTGGAGTGATTGTTTGCGCAAAAGTGAGGCCAACGCATGTTTTAGTGCAGGCCTATGTCAACCAAGAAGTTGGACGCGGATAAGGGGGAGCCGACTGTCATAATTGGTGCAGGGCGTGAATGTTGTCAGAGCTGGGTCTTGGAGTGCAAAGACGGTCCGAGTCCATGGCAGACTGGAGAGCAGAGTCGAGAGACGAGACTGCTGTCAGGCGGCTTGATCAGATGGGCCAGTGGCTGTTAGGCAGTCAGGCAGCCGGCACCCATCCTCGAGGGCAGCCTACAGTGGGGGGGAACTGGATGCGGCCAGCGCCGTCACGTGGCAGAACATCAATCGTGTACCTGCTCCTGTGATGACCGGGATCCAGGTGTGTGTATCTGAATGAACACCTGTTTGTAGTATCATGTGTGGATGTGTGTATGTGTGTATGCAGAGAGACAGTTGGCTTCTTTGTAAACGACTTAAAAAGTACCACGGACGACGCGTTCGTCATGGCGGGACGTCATTCAACGGTAGACATGTTCAACTCATACATATGTATCTACGTACATGTGCGCAATACATGCGTACCTACATAGTACAGGCCACGGTTAGCCAGGCATTCTTTCTTTCGGTTGCGCCATTCAACTCCAAAAAAACTCGGCCTTCTGGCTACTTCTACCGGCCCCAGTGCGGCCCATGTATCTGTTCTTATTGTCGCGTGGAGAGAGGGAGAGAGGGGAGACCCCTCATCTACAGGGCTCCGCTGGCTCCAGCGCCGCAGCACCGTGCAGCCTGCGAGCATCCGCAAACAAGGCGCAAACCGAAGCCGTTTCGAGCAGCCATGCACGCAGACAAAGGCCCAAGTCCGCGTCAAAGGCGCATCCCATGTGGATAGTATCAGAGTAGTCGGCAATGCGCCCTCCCTTCACGCGCCATGTCAGTGTAGCAGGGGCAAAAGGTGTCTTTGGCGACTGCAGCCTTGCGCTTGGGCCTGATTGGGACGGCTTGGCCTAAGCTCGCCTCTGGCTGGCGGCGGCGGCGGACGAGCAACCATAGTTGCCTTTCTCTTACTTACCTCTCTGTGCGCAAACCTACAAACACTCCGTCTCTATATAACCCCCCGTCGTCGCCTCCTTTGCCTCTCCCACCACCAACCCACTTGCTCCGACCAGTAGCCCATTGACTGCTGCCTCTGCGCATTCCACCTCCATCCAACCCAGCCACAGCTTACCCCACTTACACGTCGACTCTACACCACCACCCCAACGCCTGCTACAATGGCTTCCACTAATGCCGAGGGTGTCAAGCTCATCAGCATCACCACCTCTGATGGCGTCAACATGCAGGTCGAGCGCCCCGTTGCCGAGCGCTCCATCCTGATCAAGAACTTGCTCGAGGATCTCGGTGGTGAATCCGACGAGTCCATCCCCATTCCCAACGTATGTCACACTGCCCACCTGCCCAAGCAACCACGACTGACCGCTCCCAGGTAAATGAAGCCGTGATGAAGAAGGTGCTCGAGTGGTGCACCCACCACAAGAACGACCCACCCGCCACCCAGGACGACGACTCGGACTCGCGCAAGAAGTCGACCGACATTGACGAGTGGGACCAGAAGTTCATGCAGGTCGACCAAGAAATGCTCTTTGAGATCATCCTCGCCGCCAACTACCTCGACATCAAGGCCCTCCTCGATGTTGGCTGCAAGACGGTCGCCAACATGATCAAGGGAAAGTCGCCCGATGAGATCCGTAAGACGTTCAACATCCAGAACGACTTCACCCCCGAGGAGGAGGAGCAAATCCGCCGCGAGAACGAGTGGGCCGAGGACCGCTAAGGAGAAAAAAAATGCTCAAGTCTCTTGACTGAATCTTTCTTACCTCTTGTATGTATGCCTTCCTATCGGCAGTCACGGCGGGTAGGTTTGAGCCATGCGCTGCTACGAGTGGGTTTGTCTCTGGCGCAGCGGAGTTTGACGGTTATGAATCATTTCTATTTTCCATGGGTGTGACAAGGTGACGCCCTCTTGGTAAAGCATCACTAGTGGCCACTAGTCGGTTATAAACAGGGAGGGTGCGGGCTCACTGTCTGCTGCATGGACACATCTGCATCGTTTGCAGTTTTGATTACAGGTAGCTCAATGTAAACAACAAAAGTCCACCGTGTTTGTAGTATGCTTATCTTTGTTCATGTTTGTGGCTGTGCTTTGTCCAATTTGCTCGCTTTGCCTCGGCCCTGGAGAATGACGTGATTTGTCGTTTGACATGGTTGGACATGGTGAGAATCATCCAGACAATCAATGTGTCATCCGACGAAAATTCAACATGACTCAGAACACAAGAGCAAAATGTAAAGTCAGAACGCAAGGCAAGAAAAAGCAACATGTTGCATGTCGGTCAAGAGTATTACACTCGACCCATTTTTTCCCCATCATTCTATACTACATCCCCTCCCATTTTTATTTTTAGTAGTAGACAGAAGAAGAAGAAGAAGAAGAAGAAAAAAACGCCATATCAATCCCTTCATATACATACATTTCCTTTTCCCCCATCTCCCTCCCTCTCTCTCTCTCTCACACACACACACATACACGGGGACTTTACCACCCCCTCTTTGCCAACTTCTCCTCCTCAGCCATAGAACTGCAGTTAATCCCCACCATGGCCTCACCGAGATCCATACTAACCTCCATGAGCACCTTGGGGTCGTTATAATGCGTGACAGCCTGCACAATAGCCTTGGCGCGCTTCGCCGCGTCGCCCGATTTGAAGATGCCGGAGCCGACGAAGACGCCGTCGCAGCCGAGTTGCATCATAAGGGCCGCATCGGCGGGGGTAGCTACGCCGCCAGCTGCAAAGTTGACGACGGGCAGACGACCCAGCTTTGCTGTTTCCTTGAGGAGAGCGTAGTCGACCTGGAGGTCCTTGGCGTAGACGCGGAGTTCCTCCTCTGACATGTTTTTTGCGCGGGCGATTTCGGCGTTGACGGTACGCATGTGGCGGACGGCTTCGATGACGTCGCCGGTGCCGGCTTCGCCTTTTGTGCGGATCATGGCGGCGCCTTCGGAGATGCGGCGCAGGGCTTCACCTAGGTTGCGGCAGCCGCAGACAAAGGGGATGCGGAAGGGGTGCTTGGAGACGTGGTGCAGGGCGTCGGCTGGGGTGAGGACTTCGGATTCGTCAATGTAGTCTACGCCGAGGGCTTCGAGGATCTAGTTGGGACACGAAGGGTTAGCAATTGGCCCTGTCTGGGGAGTGACATAGAGGGAGAAGAAGGAGTGATTTACCTGGCATTCGACGAAGTGACCAATTCGGGCTTTGGCCATGACGGGGATGGTGACCGTGTCCATAATCTCCTTGATCATCTTGGGGTCGCTCATACGTGCTACGCCGCCTTGAGCGCGAATATCAGCAGGAACACGCTCGAGGGCCATGACGGCTGAGGCTCCGGCTTCTTCTGCTATCCGTGCCTATTCACACAGTGATGTGGTTAGCCAGACTCTTCATACTAAACCGTAAGATGTGACGAGGAATTGACATACCTGCTCAGCATTGACAACGTCCATAATGACTCCGCCCTTCAGCATGCGTGCCAATCCAGCCTTGACGGCAAAGTTGTTCTCGCCATCTTGGGCGCGGTTGCCATTGGTGGTGGGGAGCTCAGTTGCCATTGTGTCGTTTGAAGTTAGAGAGAAAAAAATGTAACGAGAAGAGGAATTGAATCTGACAGTGGGGTGATTCAAGAGAAAAAAAAAGAGAGTAAGAGAGATATATAAAGTAAGAGAGAGAGAAAGAGCTAATTAGTAGTCAAGTAATACCGCCCAAGGCCAAAATAGGCAATTGAAATCGTTTGGGAAAGTCCCAGGTAAGATCGTGAGTCAACGTCGAAGCAAGTGTATTACCTGTACATGTATCCGCGGCATCGCAATATTTTTTTTGCCTTTCCAAGGTCCCTCTATCCCGCCATCCTTAGCATAGCTCGGAGCTTGCCCCGCCATCACCCGCGGCCTTCTAGACCCCACCATGCGCCCTTTGACACACGCCCTGCTCTGCCCGCCCAATCACGCTCTCGGCCTTGCTGACTGCCATGGCCGTGAATTGCCGTCGTCGCCTTGGGCCACCGGAGTCCGTCTCTCCCCATGAGTTCATGGTGCGGTACCGGACTGGAGACATTGCATACATTACTGCGGAGATTAGTGTACACCTAGTAACTCACCTGATGACCTTTCGGTCCGAGTGGGTCCGTGGCCACCAAAGGACCCTGGACGATGCTGCAGAATATCAGGGCCCATGCCTAACTCCATGCCTAGTATGGATCGCACCAACGCTGCACCTGTGAGAATCTATGTGCGTGTGCTAATGCCAATGCCGAGCCGCACACTAGGTGTACTGGCTACCTTGTTGTCCTCAAGACTATCTTCCTGATTGCTTGTTACACTACTTCTCTAGTATGGGGCCGTCTCGCGCTTCAACCACTCCAATGTCAAGGCGTCGTTCTCGAAGAACTTGCTCGTCTTCTTATACACTTCCTTGTGGTATTCATTGAGAAACGCCTTCTCATCCTCGGTGAGCAGGCTCATGTCAACCAAGTTGCGGCAATGAGGTGTCATTGTCACATGCTCGAATCCGAGATAAGGCTTGTCGCCAAATTTGTGTTTGGTTTCGACTTCCTTGACCATGATCATATTCTCAATTCGGATTCCGAACTTTCCATCCTCGTAGTATCCAGGCTCGTCGGACACGACGTTTCCGACGGCCAATGAGACCTCCGAATATTGTACCCTTGTGCCGATCCCAATCGGCCCCTCGTGCACATTGAGAAACGACCCGACACCATGTCCTGTGCCGTGACGGTAATCAAGGCCCTCTGCCCACAGAAATTGGCGAGCTAACGAATCCAAAGCGAAGCCAGTCGTGCCCTTTGGAAACCTGACGCGCTCCAGAGCCATGTTGCCTTTGAGCACGAGTGTGTATGCTTTGCGCTCCATCTCGGTCGGCTCTGTAAAGTGCAGTGTTCGTGTGGTATCGGTAGTGCCATCACGGTATTGCGCTCCAGAGTCGCAGAGGTAGATGGCCTTGGGATCGATGACTGAGCACGCGCCCTTCTCTGGCTTGTAGTGTATGACTGCCGCATTTGGGCCTGTTGACGAGATGGTGTCAAACGAAAGACCCATGAACATGTCGTGCTTCTTGCGAATCTCCTCAAGCTTGTCAGCAGCATCGACTTCGTCCAGCGTAGCCTTCTTGTTGATCAGCTGGTCCTCTAGCCAGGCAAAGTATTCGCTCAATGCAGCTCCGTCGCGAATATGACACTGTCGCATGCCTTCCAGCTCGACCTCGTTTTTGACTGCCTTGGCATCTCCGATTGGACTCCGCGTCTCCTCGACTTTGTCTTCACCACCGAGGGCCTTGTTGAGCGCCCACGATGCCCGGTTCGAGGTTAAGAACTTCTTGGGTGTAGCGTCCTTTTCACCTGTTGCAGAGAGCTCTTTGTTCAGTGCGGTAACATCGCCGAAAATTTCTTCGTATGGACGAATGGTGACTTTGTCGCCCAGATGGTTCTTGACGTCTTCGGGTAGCTTGCTGTCGTCGACGTAGAGCGTGGCGGCGGTGGGTGTGATGACGGCGTACGAGAAGAAGACTGGGTTGTAAGGTATGCTGTGCGACGTCAGTTTGAGTTTTTTAACTGGCTTCATGGCACACCTACTCGTTGCCACGGAGGTTGAAGAGCCACGCGACCTCGTCAAGCATGGACACGACAAAACCCAGACTCTTCTTCTTCTCCAGCTCCTTTCGCAGATCATCGATCTTGTCGCTGAAACTCTTGCCAGCGTACTTGTCAGGCTGAACAATGACCTTTTCGCTTGGGCGAGCTGGTCTCTCTGCGCCCCATACCAAATCGACCAAGTTCTCGTCAACGGCCTTGTACTCGCCGCCCTTCTTCTTAATCTTGTCGGCAAGTTTGCGGGCATCTGCTGCCGCGACTACGCTCGGGTCGACGCCAACAACCTTGCCTCCCTCAGCCTGGTCTGCAGTCCATTCTTGGATGGTGGGTACGTCCTGTATGCCCTGCTTCAGCAGTTCCCAATTGCTGTCCAGCTGCTTCTCGGCCTGGTTGAAGTAGCGTCCGTCGGTCGAGAGGGCTGCCTTCTCATGTGTGATGACTGCATAACCAGCGGAGCCAGTGAAGCCACTGATGTATGCTATGGAGGGTCAATGGGGTGGGATACGACGAGTAGCAGGGGTCCAGTTCTGACCTCGGCGGGCGTCACACGGGGCAATGTACTCGCTCTGATGGCTGTCTTCGGAGGGCACCACTGCGTAGTGTCAGCGACCCATTTGCAGCCTTGTTGGGGGGCGCAGGCGTACTGTAGATGTCGACATTGCGCTCCTTCATGAGCTTGCGGAGCTCTGCCAGCCGGTGGGATGTATCTACTTTGGCCATGTCGATGGCACGCAGGGCGGCAGAAGCGTGGAGATGTCTGGTGGAGGAGAATGGCGACTTTGCAGCTACATATGCAGCGGCTATCGCGTGGGAGCGCCGTAAGATACGCGGCAAGAGCATCAAGGAGTGAAACGTTGGTTTACGCCAACGGTCAATCGGTGCATGCACGCCACCCCGCCAATCTCCAGCCCACAGCCTCAGCCAGCTTACTTCCAGCCTCGCACCCCACGGTGGACCCTGGGACCAACATCGCCAAGCACAAAAACCCTCTTGCTCAGGCACTGCCGTCTTTAAATCGCCCGCCACAGCTGGGCGTCTTCTGCCATGCTCAGCTAGAGGCCATGGACTTGCACTTGCATTGCTGTCGCCTGCTGTTGACCCTGCCCCACTACGCGCCCAGGTAGATGTCATTCAGTCTGCTCACCTCACCTCTGCCTTCTCGCTCTGCCTACTCTACTTACTACTTAGTCCCTCACCACTCTCCACCCGGACACGGCTCACTATGCTCAGCCTGCAATAATCCCAGAAACCCACTAGATTCTCCAGGCTGCAACCCGCACATCGTCCAAGTAAGTCGCACAGTCTGCATCCTTCTGGCGCCCAGTTCCCGCCCTTTGGTCACGCTTTCCTCCTTTGGGCCTCACCACGGCCTAGTTTTGGGTGAATGGACGTCGGGCCAGCCATGATATCTGGCCAGCCCCAATCCCGCTTGACCTCCCTCCGTTTTCCCTTATCTTCGTCATCGGCCTTTGCATGACTCTCGCCGCTTCGCCCCCGAGCAACACTACTGCCTATTGCAGATTTTGATTGGCACAAGCAAACAACGTCATCGGCATACCCAAAAACAGTCCCCAATCCACTGACACCGGCTTCAGAAAAAACATGGCTAGCAATGGGGCCCAATCGTTTCCACTGCCGTATGAAGAAATAGAGCGCCTGGTCAAATCCTTATACGAGCCTGGCCAGGCCAAAAAAATCTCAGAGACCGAGGCTACCCTACGCGTGCTCCAGCGCTCGCCTCAGGGATGGGAGATTGCAAATGCTCTGCTCAAGAGCGACGACGAGCAAGTTCGCTTCTTTGGCGCCCTGACTCTTACCGTCAAGCTCAACGCCGACTCAGCCGAGTTGAGCGAAGAAGAGTCTGAGCAACTATTATCAACACTCATTCACCACCTCGTCTCCCGACCTACTTCGTCCATTGCAACCCGAAAAATTAGCTCAACCTTGGCCCAGTACTTTACGAAACCCATTTCAGTATGGACTCAGTGCGTTAGGAGTTTGGCTGCCTCTTTTGCCGTTCAGCGACCAGTCTTGGACGCTGCCCTGAGCGAACACCCTTCGACATGGGATCTCTTGCCTCAATTCTCCGATGATCAGCTTCTGGTCATGCTCGATTTTGTAATGAGCTTAGCAGACGAAGCCAAGAAACCCTCAAACGTCCCAGACAGGAAACCTTACGAGCGCATGGCGGCAAATGTCGAGAATGTAGAGATCCTCCTTCACGTGTCGTTTGGCCGTGGTATCAAATGGCTATCGGTAGCTATTGACGACCCAAACTATGCTCAGTCCGTGCAGCAGGGAGAGAAAATATGTATAGCCGCTCTAAAGTGTTTTACGGGATGGATTTTCTACGCTCAATCAGAGTTCAAGGATATGCCAGAGAAGTTACAACATCTTCGTTCCGTCAACGAGCTCGCTCTCACATGCCTCGAATATCATGTTGAGGATGCAATGGAACTCGTGGCGGAGATTCTTGAGAACTACCCAACTTTCTTCGAGAAGAAGCACCAAGAAATGCTATGGGCGGCCATCTCCGGTCCCTGGGGTCTGGAAATACTGAAAAACTCGGATGCCGAAACCGTTTCACTTGCAAGGATCATCGTGGCTTACGGACAGATTCTGCTCGAGTCCAAGGTCATCTACACCCAGCCAGACAATGCGCACTATCAACAAGTCATGTCGTTCCTGCATGACCTCCTCAAATATCCAGAACCAGTAGGCGCAGAGGACGAGGTTGCTCCTGTGGTACTTGACTTCTGGAGTAGCTATGTCAGCGCCATGTCCGAAGAAACGTTCTTGTATCCTTCAGGAGAGCAGGCACCAGCATGGATGGACGCCGCCAAGGCCAATGTCCTTCAAGCCATATCCGAGCTTGTCCAGAAAATCATATACCCACCAGCCGACGTTACTGATTCTTGGGATTCCGATGCCAGGAAAACATTCAAGGTATTCCGTATCGATGTTCGCGACATCATTATGGATGCCTATGAACCCTTGCGAGACGTTTTGACTGATCAGTTCGTTGACTTCGCACTACACGGTTTGAGCGCTGGCAAATGGCTTGATCTTGAGACCGGGCTGTTCGGGCTCATCGCTATTGCGGATGCATTGACCCAGAGTTCGGATAACCGTATGCTCAGACTGTTCGAGCAACCACTATTCTCGACAATATCGAGCAGCCCAGATGTACCTGCGATAACACGGCGGACAGCTGTTGAACTTGTCGCGGCTCTGAACCACTTTTTTCTGCGGAATCCGCAATTTCTCCCTCAAGTCCTCCCCTTTCTCCTTACCGCTTTGGCTCAGCCAGCAATCGCACATGGTGCTGCAAAGTCCTTTGCATCCCTATGTTCCGAATGTCGCAAGTCTTTGACAGGAGAGTTGGCATCTTTCTTCCAAATGTACGAACAGTTCATCACCTATGCGACAGCCGAGGAATTCACCAAGAGCATGGTTCTGAAAGGCATTGCCGCCATAGTTCAGGCCCAGGAATCAGAAGAGAAGCAGCTAGAAGGCGTACGGCAGCTGTTTCAGTACATCACACGCGATGCCATGCAAGCAATCAACATTACCAAAGAGGGAGGAGACATGGAGCAGGGCCAGGTACTCGCGCTGACAACGTTAAAGTGCTTGGCAAACATAGGAAAGGCCATGCAAGCCTCAGACGAGGAAGTGATAGATCTGGAATCTGACAAGAAGCCTTCCACATTCTGGTTGCAAGGACCAGGCAAGGAAATCCAAAACCAAATCATTAATCTCGTCAACTACATGACCCAGGTGTTCTCCGGTAATGACGAGATCGTCGAGGCCGCGTGTAGTGTTCTGCGTACTGGGTTCAAGGAGACAGTGTCAGGGCCCTTTGTGCTACCACTATCTGCGGCGATTGATTTTATCACCAAGACGACCTTGCAGACTCCAAGACTTCCGTTTGTGTTGGAAACAGCGTGCTGTTGGATCTCGTCACACAAGCATGAACAACCCGAAGGCTTTCAAGAGCAAGCCCAGCGTTTGCTTCAGCACAACCTGAGCATCATGCAAGCCCTTCAACACCCAAGGAATGACCCTGAGATTGCGGTTGGCTGTATTGAGCTCATCCAGAACTTCATCAACGCTGACCCTGGTCTCCTGAAACAAGCCTCCCCGGAAAATCTATCCGGAATGTTTGGCTTCACGGTTGAATCGATCAAGTCTCCTGAGGTGTTGCCGAAACGCGCAGCTGCCAAATTGTGGAAAGATATCTTTGAGCTCGCAGGCAATCCACATAGCGAATATCATGCTACGACCCAGGAAATTGTGGCTCACTTCGGGCCTTCAGTCTGCTTTGCACTAATCGCCAACATCTGCGGAGAAGTAGACTACAGTAGCTTAGAGCATGTTGTCGCGCCCCTTCGTGCTTTTATGAGGGCCGACAAGAACGCAAGAGCATACATCACAAACTCGTTGGCGGAGCAGCCACTTCTCCAACGCTTGCAACAAGATCAGGGCGTTCAAGACATGGTGCGAAAGCTCATTGAGAGCATGTCTAGGTATATTTTCCAACAGCCACGATGCGTGCATTTAAAGCTAACCTATGTACAGGAATGCAAGGAACAGTGTGGCTTTCAAGGACACGGTAAAGGCCTTTTGGTCGAGTTGCAAACAGCTGCAGATGCAGCTCCAACCACAGGTGATGAACCCAGCGCATCGCTTCGCCCAAGGCTTCCCTCAACCGGCTACATATTGAGCAGCTTATCCAAAATTTGTCGGATTTAAAATTCAGCAAACGCAGCCATGGCGAAAGTCAGGCCGAAGGACAATTTGAAAGCAACATTGTCTTGGACCAGCGACCGGACATTCATGGACTTTAACCGGCGCTGGAGGAACGAGTATGGTATGATATGGATTCCTCGCGACTCGATGAACTAGCACATGGGTCAATCTTGTTTTCCACGTTCAAAGCATAAGCATGTAGGGTGAGTGATGGGAAGTGCATAACCAGGAAGATATCCCAGGGTGTAATGTTCGGTAAAAGACGTATGTCACAGATAGTTGTATAGATCCTCAATGACCGAGATGATGAACTTACCTGTACAGCAAAGATGCCTAATCCAATCAATATAGCCAGCGGCTTGCTAAAGACGCTAATTCCCAACCCTCCAATAACACCGAGAATACTCCCCATGCTAATTTGTCGAATTGCCTTGGGGTTTACCGCACCTGACTGAGTAACAACGGGAGTTCTCGCTTCGGCGGCATAGTTGCTCTTCAAGTCACTAGTAATCTTTGTGATGGGATCCGGTCCATCGCAGTGTATGCGCTGCGCATTTCGGAATTGATATGCCAGCAGTGGTGTCGAGAGAATGAGCGGCGTGCTGAGCATCAGGCCTCTACGAAGTCCCGGCGAGATAAACGACATGGTTTCTTGTCTTTGTGGGCGTCTAGGCTCACGGGCGAGCTGTTGCTGATGTAGGTATTCGGAAAGCTGTCTCTCGAGACCTCGGTCGGTTGTTGTGCTGCGTGCAGAAGAGCGGATAGCACGTGTCGGTAGCAGGGTATGTTGGGTCAAGACGTGTATGGGGAGTTGTATCCTTGTCAAACCGCTCAATCCCAATGGCATTCGGTACATGGGAGTTTGTGCTGGAATAGATTACTGACTTCTGGGGGAGAGCTGAAATCCGAGGGTAGTGATGTCATTGGCTCACTAGCATTTTCGCTAAGCCATCTTGGGCATAGCAGGACCCTGAGTTCGGGCACCCCAAACGTAACGTCGCGTCTTCCAACACCATGTTGGACGTGTTGATATCCACTAGGCACTATTTGGCGCTCGCCATGACAACTTTCGCTCCTTAAAATCTCTCAATTGACTAGAAAACAGGTGATCGGGTCACAATGGCGCTTCGAACGCTTTTTCTGACGGTCGCAAATCTTCTGATCCCAGTCGCGATACTGGTCTTCGCAACTGGCTTCTTTCCTTACAAACCGTTTATGCCGGGTCTTGCCCAGTATGAAGACCTTGGGTTCTCTGAAAAGCTGGGCAAGGACTGGCAAAAGCCGCCTACCCCGCCGTTCGACAAAGTTGTCTTCATGGTGGTTGACGCGCTGAGAAGCGACTTCGTGTACGGCGAGGAGAGCGGCATGTCCTTCGTGCAAAGGTACGACAGCCTTCTGGAAAGTCTAATATAGAGTCGCATTATGGCTGATATCTCTTTAGTCTAATACGCGACGGAACCGCACTACCATTCACGGCGCACGCAACTTCTCCTACAATTACCATGCCACGTGTAAAGGCCATTACCACAGGCTCTATTCCCTCCTTCGTAGACGTAATCCTTAACTTTGCCGAGTCAGACACCACGTCGACCCTCGCGACGCAGGATACATGGCTCGCGCAGATCAAAGCAAAGGACTTTGAAAATGGCAAAGGGAAGCTGGTCATGTACGGCGATGATACCTGGCTGAAGCTCTTTCCCAATGTCTTCGAGCGCGCAGACGGAACGAGCAGCTTTTTTGTCTCGGTCAGTCATAAGCGTCCCGTCGTATATAGGAACAATAGAATGTTGATTTCAAAGTGCAGGATTTCACAGAGGTTGACAATAATGTGACGAGGCATGTTCCAAATGAGTTGCTTAACAGTGACTGGAATGCAATGATTATGCATTACCTCGGTTTGGATCATATTGGGCACAAGGCTGGTCCAAAGAGGTGAATGCTGCGTTCAACTTGGTTAGGGTTCAGAGTATTGACCATTGCATAGCCCCAACATGGTTCCCAAACAAGTTGAAATGGATGAAATCGTTCGCGACATTTACTCGGCTATCGAAAACGAGGACCATCTTTCCGATACATTGTTCGTTCTTTGTGGCGACCATGGTATGAATGACGGCGGCAATCATGGTGGCTCCTCTCCTGGCGAGACATCTTCAGCACTAGTCTTTATGAGCCCAAAACTCACCAAGATTACCAATCCTGCTAACAGAAAGAGTCCAATCAAACCAAAGACCGAAGGCGAGTTTGAATACTACCGCATGGTTGAGCAGAGTGATATCGCTCCAACACTTGCGAGCTTGCTTGGATTTCCGGTCCCCCAAAACAACCTCGGTGTTTTCCTTAAGGATTTCCTTCCCTTCTGGGATGCGCGTAAGTAGCAGTGCTGGCTGATAGATGGCTATGACTGATGATGGCTAGCTCTGGACCGCATCCAGCTTCTCTACCGCAATGCGAAGCAGATGAAGAAAATTGTGGCAGCCAAATACACCAACCTGAAGTTCGAGGACTCTTTCGTAAAGTCAGATCACGCCCCAGAGTGCGCCGAAGGATATGATGTATGCTCTGTAGCAATCCCTACAAGCGTCAAGTTGCTAATGTGCTTAGGCAAATGATGGTCAAAAGCTGGCTTGTCTCTGGCGAGCGATTATTGCTTCATTGGCAGACGGAAATGATGATGTTACAAGCTTTTACAAGGTAGGTTTGCATCGCTCGCTATCATAATGCGAAGATTCACACTAACAACATCAGTTCATGCACCTGGCTCAAGAAACCATGTCCAGCACAGCCTCCAACTACAATCTGCCAGGCCTCTTCATCGGCACAGGCCTAGCTTTCCTCATATGCGTATTATCCTTCTTCACTCTTCCTTCCTTCCGACCCGTCACACCAGCCGGCATCTACTTTGGTCTATCTCTCGCTCTCTACGCCATCCTCATGTTCGCATCCTCCTACGTGGAAGAAGAGCACAACTTCTGGTACTGGGCCACATCAGGCTGGTTCTTCTGCCTTTTCCTGCAGAACATGCGCAAGGAATGGTATAGCCAGTGGATATTCCATCCCGCTATCATGGCCCTGGCCGTACACCGCATTATACGGAGATGGAACCAGACTGGCCAAAAGTATGCTGGCGCGGATGATATTGTGAATAGCGGCCTGTTTCATGGGAGATACTCTGCTATCCTGTGGATATTCATCGGAGTCACGTATCTGGATCTTACGATTCGGCTAGCCAGGCACGTCGCACGTTCTGTTGCAACGTTTGATTCTGACCAGAAGGCTCGTGCCGTTGAGCTTGAATCGACGGATCAGCACCGCCTGCTCGGTACAATTGCTGTATTACCGTTGTGTGGAACGGCATTCGTTTTCAAGCTTGCCTTCACTGCAAAGGACGCCCCGGAGATGACAAGCGGCATCAACGCAGACTTGATGGCGAAGATTGAAACATTGGAACTTGTCGGTCTCGTTCGCATGGTCTTTGGTGGTATTCTTCTGAGTGGAGTCTGGATCGCATTTGCCGAGTGGACACGGTCGAACAGGAGAAAGGCGCGTGGGAGACAGGGTAACGGCGGTATGTTATCCTTCATCTAATCCCCATACCATCTCCCTTGTAAAGAATCCCCACTAACAAACAATAAAAATTCAGATCTCGCCGTCGCCTTCTTCGACCTAACAACCCTCTTCCTCCTCACCCAAACAAAAGCCGAAAACATACCCCTCTACTTCCTCTTCCGCCTTCAAAACCTCTTCCTCTGTACGTCTCCCCAAAAAAAATAGCTTTGAGAAAGAAAAAATTAACCCACATAACCAGCCCTCCTCACCCTAACCCCAACCGCCACAACCCTAACCACCCTCCTCCTCTCCCAAACCTCCTTCTTCGCCCTCGCAAACTCAAACTCCATCTCCTCCATCTCCCTCTCAAACTCCTACAACGGAATCTCAACCTACAGCGTCCTCGCCGTCGGCCTCCTCGTCTTCGCCTCAAACTGGGCCGGTCCCATCTACTGGTCGCTAGCCGGTTTGCTGCTGCTGGGTCGCCACGGCGGCACCCAGCGCTTCGTGGATACGCGCGAGATGCATGTTGCGGATTGGGTGGCGAAAGAGCGGGAGTGGTTGGGTGAGTTGGCGGGGAAGGAGGAGGAGGCGAGGGAGAAGAGGGGGGGTTGGGAGGCTTGGGTGGCGCATGTGGCCGTGTTGACGTTTTGGACCGGGGCGATGCTTGTGGCGGTTATGTTGGCTTGTACGGTGCTGAGACAGCATTTGTTTATTTGGACGGTGTTTAGTCCAAAGTATCTGTTTGCGATGGCGTGGGGGGTTGCCTGGCATTTGGGGGTTACGGTGGGGTTGGGTGGGTTGGTTTGGTGGTTGGGGAGTTGGTGAGGTTGGTTGAGGTGAGGAGAATGTGGTGGATGGGGGTGAGTGGGTAAGAAGGGTGAAAATATGCGTATCTTGTAGCGCTGTTTTGCTTGAGATTTGTAAGGTTTTGCGGATAGTCTTTGATACTTTAGCTAATACGTTTCTGATCCGCTACTTTCTTCCGTGAACGTATGTGTGTATGCTGAGGTCGTTGGTAGCAATAACCCCCCAATAGATATCTGATCCCTTCTCATACCCTCCGTCACCCTTCCTCTATTCTCACTCCCCCCGTTTCTTCCTCTTCTATTATTACCCCTCCACTCTCCTCCTCCCCTTCTTCTATCATCACCCCTCCACTCTCCTCTTCCACCTCTTCTATCACCACATCCCCAGTCTCCTCTTCCCCTATTGCTATCCCTCCCCCAGTCCCCCCTTCTTCAATCCTCACACTTTCCGTCTCCCCTATACTCTTCCTCCTCAACTCCTCCCTGCTCCTCTGCGCATCTTTCTTCCACCGTTCCCGAACTCTCTTCTGTGCCGTTCCTCTCATAACTTTCTTGGCCAGTACCTTCTTCTCACGCGGATCCTCGACGACACTCCAGCGCACTCCGTCTTCGGCTAATTCTCTCGGATCGTACCGCGAAAGCTCGACGAACATTTGTTCGCCGCAGTACGTGCATTTGACTAGGTCGCCAGGCGCAACGCCGGGTGGATCGGAGCCAGGGATCTTGATGGGGTGGCTTGAGGCGTGTAGGAATCTATATGGAGGTAGAAGAAGACGTTTTGTTAGTAGACTGTTTTCCCTACTTTCTCTGTACTTGACTGAAGTGGAGACTCACAGTTTAGATGACCTCGTAACTCCCGACCCAGCATCGTGGCTATCCTTTGTCTTGTCGGCCTCGTGCTCGTCTTTTACGATGCCCCTCTCGTTCAGGTTTTCGCAGTACTCGCATCGCCACCTGTCTTGCTTCTTCGCCACGTCTACTATCTTCTCCTTTCCAGCCTCTTTCCTCTTATATGCTTCCTCGCGCCATGTATCTGATATGGGATTTCGTGTAATGCTTGACCCGCGTCTCTGGGTTGGGGAACTTGGGTTGTGGTGGTCTGGTAGAGGCGCCTTTGGCGAGCGAGTGCAGTCGTGTTGGGGTTCGTGTGAGAATTGTTCTGGAAAGACGGAAACATGAGTCTCTGGGGATTGCGGTTGGGATGGCTGGGAAGCAGAAATTTGAGACATGGAGAGACGTGCTAGACCTGAAGAAATGGATGAATTTCGACGGCGCATTTGAACTCTGAAAGGGTAAGGATGTAAGCAAGGTGCAGAATTTAGAAAAATTGAGGTCTCTGAGAAATTTTGTGTAGGATGCCCAGCTCTGCTGCTTCCTCGAGTGGTTCGCGTGCTGTTGCGATACGAAGGTGAGAAAAGGATCCAAGACATACACATTGTTCTCTATTTCCTCTTGGCTTTTCTTTGAAAACGGCACATCGGTACTTCCCTCCGTTTCTGGGCCTGCAGTGTTCCCATCGTCACTATAAACGTTCTCGTTAGCACTTATTGCTGGAGTCGTTCTTCGCTAATTTTCTTTGAAGACGTGGCCAGAAATCAGGTTGTACCCTTGACCAGAATTTTCGGAAGCCGACTCCCAATCGTCTGAGTCATCTTGACTCATTACGTGAGGTTGCAAAATGGTAGGCAGAATTGCCGCATGGAATTTTTATGATGTGGCAGTGAATGACAAGAGGTTCATTGACAGTGCAAAATGCTAGTAGGTGATATAAGCTGGGCGATGAGTGCCTGGAAAGCGTACCAGGCGCGTGCAGAATGCTCGCTATCTTTGGGGTACCTTGGATGCCACCTCACATGACTTTATTTCTACCAGTAACAGATCTTGGAAATGGGTTTCGCAAGATACGCTGAGCAATCTTGTCAAGCTATATCAATGCCTCAAAACATCAAATTCCCTACGAAGTGATGATGCATGACTGTACGACCCTGTACCAAGGACGGTTACCGCTTCTTGTAATTTCTCCCGAAAATTCCTACACTTTAGACAAGTAAATCAGAAAGCGATCAAGTACCATGAGCTCTGGGGTTCGCCTATCGTCATGCCCTAAGGAAGACTATTATGAGGGGCGTTAAACATGAATCACTCCACCACTCCAACAGCAAATCCTGCTTTGAATGCTACTACTAAAATTGCGAGGGAGTGCACAAATTCTCGCCATCAGATGCTATTCAACAGCATGCCCAGTCGCTTGCCAAGAAACGCACATTATTTGTTACCAGGAATAGAAAGCCACGATGCTGATGCAAACAGTGTTAGTGCATATGAACTATCATCTACATTGAACATCAGAGAGCTAAAGATAAGCTGGGCAATCAGCCGCTTCAAACACAGGGTAGGTGGGGTTGATAAGTACATGGGTGCTGTGTATTTACCAAGGAAGTGCACTGTCGGTACCTGCGACAGCAGCGGCCGTGCGTCCCAGCAGAACCACATGCTACGTAGCTAAGTCAGGAAGCTTGCCGTTAACCCCACATCACCGGAATACTCCCACCTTCTATAGCAGACTTTCTGTTTCAATATAGCAAATGCTCAAAGATACAGGGCTAGTCATGTGAGTCGGACCGGAGGAACCAAAGTGACTACATAGCCTGCACTAAACACGATGGGTTAGTATACTAGGACGTGCTTAGTTTCACATTTTGGTCTGGTCAGATTACACTACCATAAAATCCCGATAGATGCACTTCTTGTCGCGATTATCTCTCATTCATTATACATAGGTATACATATAGGTAGCAACGTAGCGGAACTGTGATAGGTCGACAAACTGTATAAAACAGCCATGCACTACAGTACAAAACCAGTTCAACATAAGTCTCTGATCCAATCACACCATCTGTCAAAGCGCCTTTTCTTGGCTGCGACGCTACATAGTGTAGAAACATAGGTCAAACAGGATCAGAGCGCCCTCTGTAAAGCATTGTAGAAAATGCCCAGACATTATGCTCTAAAACGGCCGGAACGTGCCGCAGGACCAATCAGAGTCGGCGGATCTACATATTCACGCTAAAGCAGATATGGATGGCCTAGCTCAATATAGATCTATTCTTCTCTACTCAGCAGCCAAGTTCAAGGGGTGATGTTCTGGATAGACTTGGCTGAATCACTACCCACTCGCAACTTGGATGACCTTGACTAGCTAGGCGGTAACAGTTCTTGACAGTTGACACATCCAGGCTTGCCCGAATATCCACTGCTGCGCAACTGTGTACCTGAACGCTTGATTGTGGTGCACGTGCACTTCCTTTTTATCGCCTAGATGTAGCTATTTTTTACTTGTTTTCATGTTTTGTCTGAGACACACGGTTTGTAGACGATTGACCTCCTGGATGCGAAATACTACGTACATATGCTTTGCCTACTTGGCCTGCAGGGTTGTCAGAAAACCAACATGGGTTCACAAATACTATGGTGATTTGTGGGTTTTAGGGTATATTGGAACCACCTGAATGTCTTCTACAGACAAGGTTTCCTGCTTATCAGGGCCAACGCTCGATCAAACGACAATCATTCATGTTTACTGTGGTCCAGCATGAGACTTAGGCCTTCTTAACGAGAATACTATCATCTGACGGCAGAGCAGTTTCGAAACGAGGTGGTGGAGAATACTCTTAAAATACTCATCACGATTCTTGTACCAGTAAGGCCTGGGCCATTGGTGATCTGCGCCCTTCAGGCCCAGCCTCGAACAAGGCATTACTATCCTTGGCTTAACCAATGCTGAGCTCTTAGAACAGCACTAAGATGTTTCTAAACAAAGCTAGAAATCTGTTTACTAGTAAGCATAGCCAAGTGGTCGATTTGTGTCTTGTAGTTTCTCGGTCTAACATAGATTAGATCCATTTTAGAGTGTTCTCCAGAACATCCGCATGTTAAACTGAAACATCATACCGCTGTCAAAGTACCACTGCCAAGCTGTAAAGGCATATTGGAGCCAAGTATTATGGATGAGTCTACTCAGAACAACAAGTGATCAATTATGTATAAAGACCATCAGAAAACGAGTTTACAGAAGCATCACTCACACCCTCATTCACAACCATCACTCACTGTCTTTTACAACTACTACTCACTGAGTCTATCATTCTTACTCCCAATCGCTTCAAAATGCGTTACTCACTCGCCTACCTCATCGGCACCGCCGCTCTCGTCAGCGCAGCGCCCGTCCTTGAAAAGGGTCTTGATGTTCCTTCAATTGTACGATCAAGCCCATTTTTCGAGAGGATCATCATTTCTAACTCAAAATTCAGGACCTCCTACCCATCGATTATATGTCCGATAACCATGTGAAAGAACCTAACCGGGTGTCCAAACGCGCTATAGCCAGTATCATCGCCGGCAGCGTGGCCTCAGTAGCTGGCGAGCAGCTCACCCTCGCACTCGCCGGAATAGTCAAAAAAATGCTTCCTCTCACCGAGTGGGAACCCGCTCGTGAGGCTTTTACTCAGGAAGCGACTATGTCACTGTGGAACAACAACCCAGACCCGGCCAAGTGGGTCGCGGCTGTGTGCTACAACCAGGCATGGGATGTCAGCAACAAGTCAGGCATTTCGGACGTAGTGAGCATGAAGTTTAGCCTCGGTGCTCTCAACACCGACTATGATTGCATGTATATTGGAAAGGGCACCCAGTTTTATACTCAGGGCGATGGTGGTTTCATTAATGTAAGTGTTTCTCTCAAAACGACTTTTGAGCTGGGACTAATTGTAATGTGCAGCTTCGCTACCAATACGACGACAAGGCTTGCAAATATGATCCCATCACTGGTGATCTTTCTTGCTAGACGGATCTTAGGGATAGACACAGATTTCTGTAGATGGCGTTGAGGGGTTGATTTTTTTTCTTCATGATTTTCATTTCTTTAAGATTCAAAGTCCAAAAAAAAGCCAGAGGATTGGGCATAAACAACGGTTATGCAGCTGTTGGAAAACAGCTGTAGATTGCTTGTAACGATTACGAACATTTTCTTATATACAGCCTTGCAATGGATTTTATCATTTACACACCTTGTCTTCCATCATGAATTGGATGAATCATCTACAATACAAGAATATTGGCTCTCATACCTAATTCCAGACAATATTTTTGCCTAGGGTTACGAGTTACCATGTGCATCGACATGATGCAATTTCTAAGCTTATTATGCACTGTGCAATACTCTCACTTGGTGATTGTGTAGTGTGTGACTTTACAAACGAAGTGTGGTTAATCGCTAGTTTATCGTCACGTGATGGGCAGCAGACTGGAAAGCACAACCATGGTTGAGAACATAGAATATTCTTGCCAGCTTGTCCTAGAACTATATAATACTTGTACTCCCCTCGCATCCTCCTGACATTTCCTTCTCATCACCACCACCACCACCACCACTACCACCATGTCTTCCTCATCGCCGCCCCCTCCAGAGCGCAATATTCAGAGGTCTAAGCGAAAAGCTTCAAACTCGCCATCACCAATACTTCAAGAAGATACTATCAAGCGGGTTAAGACAAGAGATCCATCACTTATCGGCGATGAGTATGACGGCAAAAGAACTATCTCACTGTCGCTCCTAACTCCACCACCTTCCTCGTCGAACTCAAGGAGCTCGAGCGCCTTGTCATCAACATCGACCATCTCGATTCCGGTAGAGATGGATTCTCCGCATACCTATGAGTGCATGGGTCTAACCCCCGAAGCGGCACAATTGATATACAACGATGGGAAGAAGATACGCGATGGCATCATGGAAGATTATGGCGAAGATTTCGATTCGGAGTTCCTCGAGTGTAGCCTTGAGGCATACTTGGTCAAGAGAGTTACTGAAGTCTGTGATGAGGTACTCGCAGCTGGAGATGGAGACAACTGGATAGAAGCAATGACAGCAGCTGGTATCAAGAAGGAGCTCCAAGATACTATAATGGATGAGGAGTTCGAGGCTATCCGTGGCACACAGTCTCTCCAGGGTTGGCTTAAGGAGATCTTCGGCAACTACTTCCGCACATTCGAACACATGAACGAGAGCGTTCTAGACTGGGAAGAAGAATATTCGTCACGACTACGTCTAAGGGGAGGAGCCGGCGAAGAAGACATAGCACCCCCACCTCCTGGACATCGGGCCTTATTCAAGAGCATCGAATTCAAACAAGCGCAAGGTATCTTCTGCGACAACGAAATCGACCTTGTCGGATTGGTTTCGGCGTCAACCCCCATGGACTTCTCTCCATATGGTGGTCTGTACTTCACAGATACCCCCTGGGTCGCTGAGGTCTATGCAAACTTTGCAAAGCGCACTTGTCCACCTGCCGATATTCGAACTGTCGAGATACATGTTCCAGAAGATCATTTCAAGAGGCTGAAGGTATGGGAGCTTGAGTTCAACGACATCTTCAAGGAAATAGTCTGGCACTCCAGGCGCGGAAAAATCATTCCAAAGCATTTACAGGAGATCCAATCCGACTTCCGCATTCTTCACGGACCCTGTACCACGCGACACTCTAAGAATTATGCAAAGATGAAGGACTGGAATGAGATTACGGAGAGGCATTTGCTGACTAGGATGACAACTGATGAGTATGGGGCACCTCAGCAAGAGGTAGCGATGCAATACATGTGGCGAGGCCAGACAGCAGTGTCCGAGCTGAGTCGAGACTGCAAGGACAAGACGCGTCTGTGGAAGCCGCTCAAGGGTTGGTCGCTTGTTGGGGAGCCTGATAAGGACGTTTCGGTGAGGGAGAAGAATGTTTTGGAGGGTTGAATGCTTCTTTTTGAGGTTCGGAAATGATTGTAATATGCTTTATTGATTGGGGTTCTTTTTTCATGTTTTACTCAGGTGGTGGAAGGGGTTCCAGAGTTTTGGCGCCGAAGAAGCTCTCTCTGGCTTTCCCATTCCGACCACTAAATCCAGTTGCACTTGTATACATATATCGACATAGCTCGGCAACAATTCTCAATACATTTCCCAAAATCCAGTTTCCAAAGTCTTAATAACCTAAAATGACATTCAAGAATACCTCAAAGATACCAAAAGGGGATTCTCTATCCTCCCCACCGTCATACAAAACTCTAGAATCATAACCCCATAAAAACTCCTTCCCTAACCCCATCTTCACTAATCCAACCTCTCAAAACGCCCAAAATCAAACCCACCTCTCTCACCCCACTTCAAATCCCCCCTCCTCCTCCTCACACTTAACACCCACCCCCACCACCCCCTCCATCACCACCTCCACACCCACCACCTCCTCCATCACCCCCTCCCCCTCCACTATACCCTCCACCACCACTATATCCCCCACTAGTATACCCATACGCACTTGTCGTACTATTAAACCCACTATACCCTCCACCCCTACTCTTGTGCTTGCGATTATTCTTTTTGCTCTGGATTACGACACGCGGTGGTGAGGGAGGGTAGTAAGGTTCTGGTTTGGAGGAGCGGCAGCCCATGTTGTTTTGGTTTGTGAGATGTGTGATCTCAGGGTTTCGTATGCGGATAGTTTGTTTGTTTGTTGGTTGAAGATTTTTTGTTTGGTGACTGGATTTTGTGTTTGGTGTAGACGAGAAGAGTAAGATGTCCGAGTTTGATAATATGTGTGTGTGTGTGTGTGTATGTTTTTTGTTGGAGATGAGTTGACTGGTAGCGAGTCAAGTACCAGTTGTAATAACGATCTCAGAGATGAACTTGAGGTGTGAGATTCTGATTGAATATGCCCAAAAGAATCGATGATGCGTATACGTATATGCTGGAAGAGGGTGATAAAAGTTGAATAATGATGAAGATGATGATGAAAATACCACCACCACCTCCCTCCCCTACCCTTATATATCCATCTCACACCTCCCTCCATCTCATCTCTCCATCCGCAGTCAGACCCTCACGCACCCCTACGTCAGCCTGTGGATTCTGCCTCGCAAAGCCCACTTCTCATCAGGCCTCCCACTCGCGTACCCCTGCCTCACCTACCTCCCCTCTTCCACGTGACATCCAACACAGCCCTCAAGGCGGACAATGCAACGCCTCACTACTTCCTTGTGCAGGAATCGGAGAATTAAGAAAGGAGGGAAAGGGCGTGGGGTGGCAATGGGAGGGGGAAAGGAGGGCCTAATTCAGTCTCGTGGACACCGAGCTGGCAGCGGGAAGCGGGAGTGGGGCGGGCTGTGCACACACGCATTTCCTGAAAGGGAAAGAATAGAGCGCGCAAGGAAGGCGTGGAAGCACATAGTAAATACTAGCGCCAGCAACGCAGGGGTTCGCGGTGAGTAGGATCGGGGATAGCGCAAAGGTCGTATTTCGCATGTCTTCAATGCACATCCAGAAACGGAAGTAAAAGAGCGCGCAGGAAGGTGGTTGGTGGGGAAAGTGGGTTACTGGACCGGTCAGATAGATAAAGGGTACTTGATGGAGCGAAAACCGCGTTGGTTCGACGGGTGGTGAGAAACACCGAGCAAGGCGCATTTTGTTCGAGGCAGACAGAGAGTGAAACAGTAGGAGGGCAGTTGATACGTGAAAATGGTATTGTAAGATGCAAGTATTAACCTATCAGAGTTCTCATTCGGGGCAAAGAGAAACGGGCCATGTTATCGCAAATTCTCCTTGTCGTTCAGAGGAAGGAGGGGATAAAACGTATAAAGTAAGAGAGATAGCAACGCAATGACATGACGGGATAGAGTCATGAGAACGAAAACGAAAAGTCTGAAGAAAAAAAAAGCATAGCCAGGGTTTATGAGAAACATCTGCTCATCCTCACCAATCTCCCTCTCCTTCAGCTCCAACTCTCTCTACTGCTTGCGCTGCTGCTGTCTTGTAAGCTCCAAAAGGGGCGCTTTGCTGCTGTCTTAGTGCAAAAAAATTGATGTAAGCCCATGCAATCTATCATTCGTGCTCATCTTCCTTTCTTGCACAACTAACACCAATAAAAGTCCAGAAGCCGTGACATTAGTCAAATCCTTTGCGCCCCTTGTGCAGTGATGGCTTTGAATTGCTGTATCGATCCAGAAAACGAGTATCCAAGGAGAAGCCATATCCGCTGCCAGTACCTATCCAATATTCATTACACGACCGACTTGAGATCCCTAAAGAGCAGGAATGTGGTCGATCCATCCTCGTTCGCGCGCTCTTACTTTCCACCTTGCTTCTTTGCCTTGAGTGCAAGGTGCGAGTACACCCATCCACCACCCAGTGCGAGCAATACACCAAACCACTCTCTTCCACTGAGGATCTTTCCCTCGCTGTACCATCCTATGCTCAGAATCAAAATAGTCTTGAGATGACTGACAATGTTGAAGGTCAAGGCGCTAGTCCTTCCAATGATCAAGAACTGACTCAGGTTGTACATGGAAGCCATGATACCCGATGCGCATACGCTCCAGAGGATATCGGTGGGCACAGTCGAAAGATCGGGAAGAGTATCGAAGAATGGAACAAAGGGAATGAGCAGGCAGACCGAAATCGGCGCCTGGTTAAGCAGAAGCTGGGGTGGTGATACGGCAAAGTCCTCAATCTTCTTGCCAATCCAGATTTGGTACAGGGCAGTACTGCAGAAAGCCAACGTTGCGATAATGACACCAAACAATTGGGTCTTGGCCGCCTCGTTGATGGTGAAGGAAACTCCAATGCATGTTGCAAGAATAGCAGCCAGCATGTATCGCGTAACATACTTTCGGAAAAGGACAAAGTTGATAAGAACGACAGTGGGTGTGGTCATGACCTTGGAAAGCTGGTAGAAACCAATCGAGTTGAAGGTCAAGCTAAGGTTGCCAAGAACAACATAGCCGGCGAAGAAGCCGCAGACGGGCAGCATCTGCCAGATGTTGAGTTTGACGGCCTTGAAGGCGTAAAAGGGCCGCAGAGTGGAGATGAAGAGAACGAGACCGGTGGCGGTGAAGTGCCACATGACAACCATGAGTTGGCATGCCTTGAGCTGCTTGTCGCTGAATACTCTGCGTGGCGGTTAGCAAACAGGTTTCCAACGCGGTCGGCGCTTATCGTCGCATACCGTTTACTCAGGAAGATCAATCCCAGCGTCGAGAGCGTGTTGAGCCCGATCCAAAAACATGTTATCAGCTTGTCCTTGAGCGATATTGGCGTAGGCTCCGTGACGGGTTTCTCAAATGTGGGCAGCTCCTCGAGCTCATGGGATTCACGCGGGTCGATGTTGTCAACAAGGCCCTCGATGGAGGGGCGTTTTTCCACTGCGTGTCTGTCAGTCGTTGATCTCTCCTTTTTCTGAAATGGCGCATAGCCACGCGATGGGTCCAGGGTTCGGACGATGATCGCAGTTTCGACGTACCCATGGTGTATAGATGTGGTGGTGGTGTATGTAGCGAGCGACAGTGGGCGGGCTCGTCTACTCTATGCCTTCATACCAATAACAAAGCGATGTTGGCAATAGGAGAACAGAAGTAAGGCCAGGGCGCGCGAGTAGTAGATGAGGCGTTGTGCGTGCGGTAGCGGGTGGGACGGGAGGTGCGGCGGTGCAGGTGAGGCGTCCGGACCGAATGCAACGATAGGCGATGGCGAGGGCGAGGGCAATGGTAGCGGCGGCGGCGGCGGCAGCAACAGCAGCAACAGCAGCAGCAGACGAAGAAGGCGGAGATAAGAGGCGGGATGACGAGGGTTTTGTAGCAGCGCAAGCCGGTGAGATGGCTAACGTGTCGTGAGGGCGGAGAGGGAAACCAAGGGGCGTACCAGCGGGAACCAGGCAAGATGCTATCCGAAAGGGATCCTCACCCGCCAAGGAAACATGTTGAAGGGGGCAAAGAGGGCTGCAGGGTTTCGTCGTACTGGCCAGCCACGCAGCCCAATCGGCCGACGCCTAGCAGGACCGTGTCAGCCAAATATCTTAACTTTGCACGTTTAATTTTAGACGGTAATGCGGTTGCGCTACTGCTTACGGACAAAAATGGCCTTTGTTTCTGTCGCTGTCGCTGGCTGTCGGTACCGCTCCTCGCATCGTCTCCCTTTTGGGCCTCCTCTCCCTTGGCGCGTCAACGCTCTGGCCGTTGTCTACCATGTCTTGCGTGTCCATTGCATGCTGATCAGGCATTGTCTGTCTTGAGATGAGATCGCAAAATGCCGCGACATCCGAATCTGCTCTGCCATGCCTCGGCCTCTACATTGGCCCGTTACACAGCTTTCCCCGAAAAAAACCCTTGCATGAGCCCCTAGTAGTACGCAGCATGAGTGAGTCCCAGCCCGTCTACCAAACCCTACTCAACATATCAACTGTACCAGCCCGAGTAGTCTGATGCGCCCAACGATACTGAGTTTAGCCTGCTGACTGTTTGCATGCTCACTATGCATCAGCGAGGGGCCATGCTTACAAGTGGAGATTTGCCCTCCGTATCGGAAATTGCGCCACACGTCCTCGAGTGGCAGCCACTCTCAGCCACAGCAGTACAGTGCGATCGTCACTTGTTGGCGCCATTCACTGCTGCTCTCGTTGGCGCCAAGTTTTTTTGTATACGTACATCTGTGTGTACATACATACATACATACATATGTAGTATGTATGTACACACAGTATTGCAGTGTCGCTTCCGTCAGCAGCACAATGGATGCCACCCAATCTCCAACCACCGGCACGCCAGAGCAACTAAACGTCATAGAGGGATACGAGCACAGATCTCTCCCAATACATGTTCACGTAATCCGCTAGTTACATGTATGTTCATATTAGGTAACCAATGTTTCGCCATCACTCTATCCCTTCCAGCAACCAGGGAACACACATACATATACCACGTCATCAGCCTGCATGTCTGAGAAAACATCATATCTAGATTTTTAAAGACCCCCCATCATTTATGTATGCAGTCGACACAATACCTAGCTAGGCAATGCCAGCAGTGACAACGACGACGACCCTAGCGCATGGAGAAAGTTGCAAATAATGTACACAATGCAGAACCCATCAACCATACAGTAATAAAAGAAAATCCAACATGATCAAACCCCCCCGGATCACGAACATTCAGATATGCTGCCGCTTCTTTGCTCCCAATTATAGATATAACGAAAATGTGTGATAGTCATACACGGAATTTAGACCTCGCCATCAGCCACGGCTAGTCGTTGCTTGGCCGTCTTCGCCTTCTTGCTCAATCCGCCCTTCTTGCGCTTGCCTCCTACAGGTGTTTCGCTCGATGCAATAGGCGTCGCTGCACCGCTCGCCTTGGCGCTCTCGTCAAAGTGTCCTTCACCTGTCAAATAGTCAGTACAGTTCATACATCGCACCATCAGACTCCAACTCACCTTCGTGGTACATGTCGTCGAGGTTCGTTTCAGCCCTCTGCTTCTTCTTGCCGCGCTTCTTGCCCGGTGGAGCATTCTTCTCCTGCTCCGCCAATTCAGCTTCCTTCTTCTCAATCTCAGCGGCTTGGTCGTCGTCCACGAGCCACATAGCCATGTCCTTGGTCCTGTTCTCTCGGGAACGAGTGTTGAAGTCGACTCCTGCACCGCCGCCTCCGGAGATGACAACGCGCTGAACCTCTTCCTTCTGCAGAGCACGCTTTCGAATACGCTCCTCAATGGTACCACGAGTAATGAGACGATACACGGTGACTTGTCGTGTTTGACCGAGACGATGAGCACGATCCATGGCTTGCGAATCAATCGTGGGATTCCAGTCCGAGTCGTAGAAGATGACGGTGTCAGCCGAAGTCAAGTTGATACCGAGACCACCAGCGCGTGTAGACAGCAGGAAAACGAAGATGGATCGATCACTCTGGAAATCCGCCACGGTATCACGACGATCCTCCAGTTTGGTAGATCCGTCTAGACGGCAGTACTTGTAGTTCCTGTAGGTCAAGTACTCTTCCATGAGATCCATCATCCTGGTCATCTGGAAGTACAAGAGGACGCGGTGGTCGTTGGCCTTGAGTTCCTTCAGCAGTGCATCTAGGCGAGCTAGCTTGCCAGAGTCCGTGACGAAGCGCGACATTGACGGAGCCTCAATGTGGGTGAAACGGGTACGCTGGTTGGTTGGTGGCGGAAGCTTGTTGTGAACTGTCAAGGCAGTACTCTCCGACTTGGTCTCCAGTATCGCTTGTTCAGTCAAGTCCGAGATGCCGTACAATGCGGTGCGAATGAGAGGATTGAAGAAGATGTTTTGCTTTTCAGCAATAACTCCTTGACTGGCACAGTATAGCTCGATTGGAGGTGCAGATGCCTTGGGCTTTGCACAAGGCTCAATCACGTTCAAGCCCGTCTTCTCAAACGCAGATTGAGCAATGTTGAACAGGTTGTGCATGTGCCCTTCGGTAGCTACCTCAGCCAGCGGCACACGATCCTGGCGATTGACAATGTTGAATATTGAGTGCTTCGGTTCCCATTCGCCAGCATCACCGTCGTAGCAGATACTGAAGCGGCTGACCTTGTTCGGTTTTTGGCCCGCAACGAGAGCTCGCTGGAAAAGACCACTCTTGGCAATCTGTGAGGCCTCGCTTGCAGACAAGTCGGAGAAGCGGAGCCAGGAGAAGGCGCCACTTTGTCGAGCCGATGTCTCAATGTTATCCGGACTCCAGATGTTCATCAAGTTGTCGAGATAGTGTCCCTTGAATCCGGCCTTTTGGTTGTCGGGTCCTGCAAGATCCAGGCGACCTCCTTCGCGGCCTACAAGACGTGGCAGAGAATACTCGATCAGGTTACGAGTCGAGTAACCAACCCTTACATTCTGACCTTCTCGGAGGAACGATGCCGTCTCAGCGAAAGAAGCAAAGGAGAAGGGAGACCAGGTCTCTGCTCTCTCAAACAAGTCAGGGTGGTTACAGACTTTCCTAAATTGCATGACCAAGTTCATCAAAGTGGCGCTGTCCTGCTCGTCTCCAACTGCCTTTTCGACCAAGTCCATAATGTTGATCTTGGCGCGTAGATTGGCGTAGTAGGCACGCTGGCGATATGTCAGGTCGCAGTAAACATCAAGTTCAATCTTGTCTCCAAGCTCTTTCTGCACATGCTTCTTGACACGACGCAACATGAACGGCTTCAGGATCATGTGCAGACGTCTCAGCTGGTCCTCGTTGAGTTTGGTATTACTCTGTGCGTGACTCTCAATATCCTTGGAGAACCACTCGCTGAACTCGTCGTGGGAATCGAACAAACTTGGCATAATGAAATGGAGAAGTGCCCAAAGTTCTTGCATGTTGTTCTGGATAGGGGTACCTGTCAGTAGCAGTCGGTTACGTGAGTGGAATCCGAGCAAGCTCTTCCATCTGGAACTCTGCGATGACTTGATAGCCTGGGCTTCGTCGAGAATCATGTACTGCCAGCGCATCTTCTGGAAATACTGAGCATCCTGAACAACCAATTGGTATGAGGAGACGACAACGTGGAAAGGCGAGTCGCGGGTGTAGGTAACGTGCTTGCGGTCCCAAAGCTTTCGCAGAATCTTTCGGTCTTTGGCCGTACCCCAGTATGGAATGACGTTGAGATCAGGAACAAACTTTGCGATTTCCTGCTGCCAGTTATGCAACGTTGATGCAGGAGCGATGACAAGGAAAGGTCCCCAGATGTTGTACCTCTCTGCAAGGTACGCCATGACGGATATCGACTGGACCGTCTTTCCGAGACCCATTTCGTCAGCCAGAATACCGTTGATACCTTGCTCGTACAGGTTAACTAGCCAGTTCAGACCCTTGAGTTGGTATTCCTTGAGGGTACAGCTGAGTAGATTTGGCTGAGGAATCCAGTCTTCCTTGTTTTGGAGACCGGATGGATTTTGGAAGTTCAGCTCTCCATCCTCGTCGTCGTCGCCAGACTTGTTGAAAGCACGGGCACGATCCTGTGCCTCTTGGATAGCGTGTTGAGCGTTTGCCATTGCAGCAGCATTGAGAGCGCTCTCGTCCTCATTATCGAAATCCAGATCCTCAAAGTTGGTGACTTTGGCAGCTGCCCCTGTTGGCATGTCTCCAACCTCGATACCAGGCTGAGCTGGTTGCTGTGGTGCTGCCGCGGCGGTATCGGCGTCGTCAGTAGACCTCTCAATCTCGTCAGTCCTGGCCTTCTTTCCGATGAAATGCGAGTAGAGTTCTGTCTGTGAGATAAGAAAGTTGAGCTTCCGCTTCTGTCGGTTGGCTTCACGGTCGGCTTCGGCCTTCTTTGCGTTCTCTAGCTCTTGACGCTCTGCATTCTTTCGCGATTCGCGCTCGTCACGCTCGTTCCTCTTCCAGAACGCAAGCATCTCGCGCATGCCTCGCTTCGCCCTAGCCTGCGTATCCTTCTGGTTTTTGTTGGTGCGCATCTGCCATCTGCGTGCTTCTTTGGCGGCCAACTGGGCAGTCTTGCGAAGATTGGACTGTTTTGTAGACAGTGAGTTCTCCTTGATGCGGACGACCTTGGGAACATCCTTGCGGGCCAAGTCCTTGACGATCTGGTGGTACAGATTGCGATACACGGGCGAGTCGTAGGAAGTGAGCACGACAGGGCCGATGTCTTCGGTGTAGCTGCGGCCCCGTATCGAATCAAGCCGGGCCTCCTCGCGCGGAGCAATCATGGGCAAATCATCGCCACGGTCAAGAGCAGCTTGGCCTGCCGCTGCAGCATCCTTCTCTGCCTGCTTTTGCTCCTTGCTCTTCTTGAGACGGCCATTGCCACGGTTGCCCTTGCGCTTTCCGCTCGGGGCGTCGTCAGAGGCCTGGAACGAACTCATCGTGCCTCCCTCCATGTTGGGGCCATGTGGGGTAACCTCGCGGATGTCCTTACTAGGAGCATTGCCTTGCAGCAGCTGAGTGGTAGTCTTGGCCTTGCGTTCAGCTTTTTGGGCAGCTAGCAGGTGTCGTTCCTTCTCCTCCTCATTTTCGGCCTGGCCAGCCTTTGCGAGAGCTTCAGCACGCTTAGCCTCTTCGTTCTGGATAGTCTTTTCTCGTCTTCGTTTGCGTTGCATGTCCTTTTTGCGCTCCTTCTCTTCGGCAATCTCCTGGCTCTGCACCTGCTGCCATGCATCGCCCTCGTGCTCGACGTTGTAAGAATGCTTGGCGTAGTCGCGGTGTGCAGCCGACACATCCTGGAAACGGATCAAGGTTGCTGTGCGCCTTCGCTTGCGCTTGCTCGCCTCTGTAGCGGAAACCTCTAGGATACGCTTTTGGCTCCGTTGCCTGTATTCTGCCTCTTCGCGCGAATTGATCAGAATGTCCATGTCTCCCATCTGCGTAGTCTCGATGTGTGCAAGCTGAGCCTCAACATCGGCTTCGTCAGGAGGTGGCAGTTCGCGAGTCGCAGATTGCAGTGCAGCAGGCTGCACGCTCCCAGGTACAGCGATGGCATCATGCGTCGGCCGTGGGGTATAGCCGTTCTCATGTAGAGGCAGGTCAGCTGGCGCCGGGGATGCCACGGCCTCTTGCTTGACAAAGTGCTGGTTGGGCAGGGGCTTCGATGGTCGGAATGGGTCGGCGTTGACGGGAGCAGGTGGCTGAGGTTTGGACGGGGGCTCGTTGTCGGCGCCAGAAGACATTATGCTTGAGAGCGACATGGGGTCGGCGCGTGTTGGTGGTGGAGCCTGTTGATGGGGGAGATGGCGATGAGCAAGCGTTGTCGAGCGGAGAGGAGAGGTGGGTGGACTTACCTCATCCTTGAAGGACGGCCGTCTATCGTAGGTCGGCGGCTGGACGGCACCGCCCGGCCGGTTCATGGATTGATAAACTGATGGCGAGACGGGAGAGTGTGACATTGTCTCCATGCCGCCGGTGTGCTGGTGCTGCGAATGGGGCCGCCGCAAGGGCGAGTGCTGGGGATATGAAGCGGCGACGGGCGAGTGGTAGACCTTTTCGTAGGGGCTGTGGGCGGGTCGAGGGTCGTGGTAGGCGTGAGGGTCCCGGGGCTGCTGTGCGGTCACTGTTAGGCGTGTATCCCTGAAGGGGGGAGATGAAGCAAAGGCAGGCAGGTGGTAAGAGAGAGGCAAAGAGAGAGAGAGGGAGCAAGCTGGGGTGAATTGACGCGATGCAGAGTGATGGAGATACGCACCTGTGCAGGATACTGGGGGTCGTAACGCGCCGGGTCTCTGGCTACGCGGTTGTCGCCATTGTCCGAGGTCGGGTCGTAATATCTAGACGTGTCGCGAGAATAGAGGGCCGTGCTGATGGGCGGCAGCTCGGTCGAGGATGGTGATGCAGGCTGGCGGTGGTGTTGATGGGGCTGCAGAGGCAAGGGCGCAGGCGTGTTTGGCGAGTGATGGTGGTATGGTTGGCCTGCTTGTGTGGGCGATCTGTGGTAAGCTGATGGCGTAGGTTCCCCTTGGTGCCCTGGCGGCATTCTGTCTGCTCGCGACCGCTCCTCGCCCTCATCAACCGACGGCCGCAAGACGGGATCGCGAAACATGGGACTGGGCGCGTGCAGGCTCTCTCAATGGGACCACGAAGGCTGCTCCATGGACCAGCAGCAGCGGGCTCTGGCGGTGGGGCGCGCCGGAAGCAAGGCGGCGACAGCAGGGTGAATGCGCCTCAGGCTTTGCAGTTGGCGATGGTCGGCCGGCGACTGGTGATGGATGGCTTTGGATGCGAAGGGCAGCGGACGGGAGCGATGGGAGAGGGACGATGGGGGGCTGGTGTGGAGCAGCGCTGTCCAGATCACACACACACGCACGAAGGGTTGGCAAGTCAGCTTCTGTCTAGTGCGGCTGCGGCAGCTCTGTCCCTGGGGCAGCTCCGGGCGTGATGCAGACCCGCGATGAGGTTTGATGGCAGCGGCCACGACTCGCTGCACATGACGCCGCTTGTCCGACGGGGCGCTGCACACAATGAGAGCCGCCCTTGTGAATCCAGCGAGGCTCGTGGCGACGTCCAGCCCGGCCTGTGTCTGCTGGCGGGGGGGAGCGCTGCCTCTTTGCTGCCCACCTGAGCCCGCGTCTCTCGTCGAAGCATACACACGCCCCAGATGGTGCATCGACCAATAACTTGCAGGCACACGAGCGGCGCCGTCCAGCATGCAGCCCGGCCTGCGCGGCTGTCAGGCGCACTGTGCGTGTCCGCATTCCCATCTTGCTGGTGCTGGTGCTGTCCGCGTAGCCAGCGATCCGGCGTCATGCCCGTTGCCCTCTGCAGCGACGTGCTCCTCGTCTTTGCCTCCGCCCGCCGCGTTGAGGCGTTGCCAACTTCGGCAAATCAACCACCGACCAACGCCTGACTACTTACTACCATTTACATACAACATTACACGCACTACCATCACCGCCTACTACATGCCCTGCTCCTGCACACTCTACTTGCTCTCCCTCTCTCCCTCTGCATTGGCCCATTTTTCTTCCTGATATGCCTCGCCGTCCCGCTACAGCTGGTCTACGGCGCGCGACAAAGCGCCATGAGCCCAGACGCACTCTAAACGGGGCAGGAGCGTTGGGACCTGCACTCCCTCATTGGGCGAGCCCTGCCAGCGATGGTGACGGAAGGCACGACCCATGTCGGTGGGTCGTAGCGTGGCCAAAGCGTAGATCACGCTAAAACTCTGGGCGCTATCCATTCTCCAACTTTTTTCTAGAGCCGCCTTCATCCCGTGAGCAGCGCAAACAGCACCATCAACACTCGTGCACAACAATGGCCTCGGTATACAAGACACTGTCCGGCGCGGACAAGGAGGAGAAGGATGTCGGAGTCAAGAGAAACAAGCAGCGCGTCCTCATTCTGGTATAGCATTTGTCTACACAAAAAGAGAAAAAAAAATCTCTTGCTAACAAAAAACAGAGTTCAAGAGGTGTAACATTCCGGCACCGCCATTTACTCCAGGATTTGTACTCTTTAATGTGAGTTGGACTCCAATCCTGCTTCAGAAACTTCATGCTGATCCTGCAAAGGCCCCATAGCCGAAAAGAGGCCAAGCTTGATACCAAAACGAAGCTCTACCAGCTCAATGAACTAGCAGGTACGAATTTCTCCCCAAATACCAGTCTTTTCGCGATGAGAAATCTCGCAGACTGCATTTCTAATATTCTCCGTCCCATCTTGACGTGAACTAACCCAGTCAGAACTCTACAACTGCAACAATGTCCTCTTCTTCGAGGCGCGCAAAGGAAAGGATCTTTACTGCTGGATGTCCAAGCCTCCCAATGGCCCCACCGTCAAGATGCATCTCCAAAACTTGCATACCATGGAAGAGCTCAACTTCATTGGCAACTGCCTCAAGGGATCCCGGCCAATTCTTTCTTTTGACGCCGCGTTCGACAAGCAGGCCCATTTGCGTGTCATCAAGGAACTCTTTACCCAAATTTTCGGTGTTCCCAAGACCAGCAGGAAAGTAAAGCCTTTTGTTGACCACGTCATGGGTTTCACCGTCACAGACGGCAAGATCTGGGTCCGCGTTTTCCAGATTAATGAGAGCGAGCCAGGCAAGAAGAAGAATGCAGACGGTGAAGAGATGGAAGTCGATGAGCCTGCGCCCAAGAAGAAGGGAGGAAAGGGAGAACTCGATGTCAGCCTTGTGGAGATTGGCCCACGCTTCGTGCTCACACCCATTGTCATCCAGGAATCGAGTTTTGGAGGCCCCATCATCTACGAGAACAAGGAGTTCGTGTCGCCCAACCAGATCCGCTCCGACTTGAGGAAGTCCAAGGCCGGCAGGTTCAACAAGCGGACAGAGGCGCAGAGGGATGCTCTGCTCAAGCACCAGGAGCTGGGACTGACATCGCACGGTGGTCGCAAAAAAGAGAAGGATCCGCTCAGCGACAATGTTCTATTCGCATAAGCCGTTTGCAACATTTTTGGAGGGCAAAAAAAAGTGGCGTTTATGGGATGCATCTTACATGGGGCTGGCGTCGATTTGTTGGGCTTGGCATATGCCTGCATGTATAGCGATATACCCAATAGCTATCAACTCGTGGGTAGCTCGTCTTGAGCGACCGCTATACACGTCTTTTTTGCGTTCGTATATTAATCTCCGGATCTATTGCACTCAACTACACTGACTGTAGTCTTTCTTTTGTCATGCTTTTTTCTAGTTCCTCCTTGTATTCGTCATTGACACCACTGACCACAGCCATACGAACCCCGTGCAGCGCTCTGAACGGATTTAGTACCAATTGCGTTTGGGAAATGTTGCTCTCATCTTGGACCCGATGCACCCTGCCGCTTGGAAACTTGACGCGACTGATGGCACCATCGATCAAGTGCACCTGCAGCCGGTGCAGCTGCGGAACAGCAACCAGCAGATCCACAAGCTCCCGTACTTTGCTATGTATACCAGCCGACAATCCGCGCCCACCATAATTGTACTTAATCATGCCCGTATAGTCATCGACCGACTCGACATTCACAATGTAGTTCCTGATGCGCAGGAGGTTCCGCTGCGAGAAATGATCTAGGAATTGATATGTTTGGTTCGGCGTCAGGTTATTCGCAGTCCGCCAGCGGTACCGAAAGTTGATTGCACTAAAAGTCACATCTATCACGAACGTATTTTCGCCATAGAGCATGTCTGCTGCCTCTTCGTGCACCTGTCGCGACACGGCTAGCAGGGCAGTGCATCCGCGCCGCCAGACAATGTCGTTGCCCGTTTCACGGTCCGTCCGCGGCAGTGTCCGTTGCATGCGCCAGCACCCATCGCCATTCTGCCGGACGAACGTCAGATTGTACTCGGACTTTGGGGGTGGGTCAATGGAGCGCTGCAAACGCACATCGAAGGTTGTCGTGTGGGGGAGGACGAGACTGTATATCGTGCGTCGGAGCTCGATTGGGAGGCGGAACAGAGCTGGTGAGTATGGAGACGCAGTATTCCCGTGGTACATTGTTTCTTCCGGTACTGCCAGACTCCAGACTTACAGACGTGGACGACGACGCGGTTTGCGATTCGGAGAGCGACATACTTACCTCGCGGACGTTGACGCCATCGGCTTATCCTCCCCCCTCGACGCCGATTGGTCCCCACAATCCAGATTGGCTCCACTTGGCGCCATCTATCAACTTTATGGCTACGTCGTGACGATAACTCCTGATTGTCCTTTCAACCACCAACAATGTCAATGGCCTTTGGAAACGGCTCGTCGGAGTCTGCCATCGTTTGCACCATGTCTTCACAAAATTTCAACACGTTTTCTATCTATAGCCCCAAAGGAGGGGTCCTATCTATCTGAACTACGAGTCACGCGTCGGTGTAGAAGCAACATAGCTACGCGCCGATTGATCGATACATTACACAGCACACTTGCGGCTGGCATATAGTAAAGAGAAGAAGAGGCTGGATATCTAGATCGATCTCTTAGAAAGAGATACGGGTCAGTACCAAAAAAGGGATAGATATATATCAGCGTGACAATTGACGAGTGAGTAATATGCATGCAACTGGAGATCTATAATATGGGCCGTGTAGTTTTCGATGCTAACTTTTGAAGTCACGAGAAAAACAAAAAATTACCGGACGCTGAGCATCCACCACCAAAATGTTATTCGAAGACCTCGCCACAGAGCTCGTGGTGCAGGTGTTTTTATCCTGCACCTCAGTCACCGACGTAACAGCCCTATCTTCTACCTGTAAACGTTTCCGTAACATATATTCGTCCTCGCAAAAACTTGCCATCCTTGAATCCGCCGCCGAAGCGCAATTCGGGCCCCTCCACGACCTCACCCAGCTCCTCACCCACAACGCCAGCCAACCAGCCCACATCTTCCGCTCGGTCCCCTTCTCGCTCGCCCTCCTCACCCAAATCGTAACGTACGGCCGTGTCGCAGAAAAATGGTGCGAAATCTACCCCTTCAAAAAATGGAAACACAACTTCGAAAGCCGCCGCCTCTTAACACCGCAAGAACGATATAACCTAAGAAGAGCAATCTACCGCATCTGGCTCTACTCCCGCGCCTTCCACAACCCCGCCCACCCCCGCGAACTCCGTGCCACGCGCCTCGTCCTCCTCAAGCGCGCCGCCCTCCTGCACAACTGGTCCACGTACGACCTCGCCGAGATAACCGACATCCACAACGTCATGCGCGAAGTGGTACAATCAAACATATGCCCCTCCAACGGCACCATTGCTCGCAAATTCAAAAAGCGGCACCCGGGAAATGAACACGGCCTTCTCTTCAATATCCACCTTAATTACCCACCCTCTGCCCCTCAAGCTTTTAACCCCTTCGCTTCGAATCCCCTCTCCACTCACTTCAACAACACGAATACGTACACGTCTCGCTTCGCAGCATCAAAGTACTCGTTGAGCCCCTCGCACGAGGTCGGCGCTGAGGGCTGGGGCGACGATATCCCCCATTACTACGTTGTAGAGGATTACCTTAAACTTGATCCGGCACAGATTTTGTATCTGAAAGAGAATGCGCCGCTCAAGGGCATGGTCGAGGGCTACGTGCGCGGTTTGTGGAATGAGTATGATTGGTTTTCAAATAATGGTGAGACGTGGGTGCAGACGCTGGAGTTTGTGCTGGATGAACGTGGGGAGGATGTCGGGGAGTTTATGGATGCGATTGCTGAGGGGGAGTTGGGGGTTGCTTGTTGCTGAGGTGGTGTAGATGGAGACATGTTGTATGTGTGGGTGAAGTATTTGTTGATATAGATATATATATTGCAATGCACACTTGAATACCATGTCTTTTCTTCCTTCATCCATGACCCTACATCTTGCCAAAAAATGAAAAATCTCCCTACAAAGAAACAAGGAAAATCAATATCCCAAATCCTTATTCCCCCCGACCTTTATCCTCCTCCACTTGCCTCCTCTTCACCCCTCAGCACAGGCACCAGCTTATCTTCGTAACCCGACACAACCCACGTATTCTCATCAACCGTAGTATGCACCAAGCCCGTCTCAGCAAGTCGAGCCAGATACTTGCGCACCAGGTCGACATCAAGGCGCAGCGTAGCCGCGATATCAGTGATGTTCTGTCCGATATACGACGTAGGTCGTGAATGGAGATCTTCGGTGAGATACTCGAGGATACGAGTAGAAAAGTAGTCGTCATCGTCTATGGCGTCTTCATTGCCTATGTAGTCTCCATAGTCTCCATAGGTATCATCGTACACGTAGTTTTCGTCGTCTTGATCATCTTGGTTCGAAAGAGTCGCGTCAGGCATAGTTTCGGCCGAGGGTACATAATATCCATGTGCATCTTGTTCACGAGCTTGGCGAGCTGCTTGCTCTAGGGCTGCTGCGAGGGTTGCTGCATCAGTGTCGTTTTTGCATTTGAAGAATAGCATGAAGGATCTGCCTGGGGGTGTATCGCGTTTGCGGATGTCATTTACAATCACCTCGCTTTGATCATGGCGTAAGTCAGTAGCGGGTATCAGGTCGAATGAGTATTCGTATGTGCTTTTTTGAGAATCCATGTCGAGATCATTGGTCTTGCGACTGGGCTTGCGTTTGTTATTGCGGTTGGTCTTGCGGTCAATGTGGACCGAGCTTCCGGATACAAGGACCACGCAAGAGTTGTGGATGAGTCGTGGTTTACTTGTTGTGAATTCTGTGAAAGTCACCTTGACTTCCGCTACTACGGTGGCCTCACCGAGAGGCGCGTGTCGAGACTTTTCCTTCAAGGCAATGGATTGAGAATCGTCTTTGGCGACAGTCGAACCAGATGATGGATTCCGAGCCAGCCCCAGAGACTGAGTTCCCGACTGTTTCGAGCCAGTCTCCTCGACTGGTGGAAAATAAGTCGGCAAAATGTTCTTGTAGATAGCCTCGTCGATGTCCGAGTATACTACAAATATTATTTTTTCCAGTCCACCCGGCTCTTTAGACTGAAGAAAACGCCTGACTTCTTCCATGGCAAGCGAAGCGCAATCACGGCGCGGAAAGCCCAATGCACCCGTCCCAATACAGGGTATTGCAACGGATTTGGCTTTTAGGTATGTAGCGGTATGCAGGATTCCGCGGTAGATGTTGCGTAACACATTTTTGTTGTCTTTTCTGTACGCCTCAGGTGGGATGACATGTAAAATGTTCTTGGCTGGTAAGAGGTATCCTGAAGTCGTTTTGACATCGCCCTCTTTACACACACCGAATTGCTGAACCTCTTCTTGCAATTCTGGTCCACCCTTTTTGAAGATAAGGCGATCCAGAATTCCCATGCCTAAAAAGGATGTGTCAGTAGAGTTGACTATGACATCGACCTCGAGCTTTGTCATGTCTTCTCTTGCCAAACACACTATATTGTTGAAGTCGGCAGAAGGTTGTGCCATAGTCTTCTTTGGATGGATGATAGCAAGCTGATATAGTTTCGTCACAGATGAAATTTGGTGCAGTTTAACCGAGTCTCGGTTACTAGAGGCAGTTGGCGTAGAGGGCTCGACAGACTCCAGGTTTTCCGGCTGATTGGGAGCATCTCCAGTATCCTGTATACGCGCTTTGGCCCTATATCCTTCTAGTTCTGGGCGCATTCGTACTAGATCCAGATCATTCTGTTCCTGTGCCATGACACTATCCAGAATGGTAGTGAAGGAGCAACAGTCTAGTAGAAACTCCTTGAGGTTGGATCCGTACTTCCCATTCATACCCCAATCGGTAATTTTCAGGATCTCCTGATAATTTGACACGGTATCTTGAACCTCTTTCGCTGTTTCAGTCATTCCTAAGATGCTGCTACATAAAGTGAAGAGAACAGAGCAGATCAGAGCGATGTCTGTCGAATGTTTGTTCAGCGTTCTGGGTCCCAATAACTCATTGTGAATCGAAGTCAGCGTGATATCAATCTCATCGAGAAGATCAAGGTATCCGATTTCGATCTCTGGTAGGATCTGGCTGAAATCACGACGGAGCGCAGCAGTCGACTTTCGTAGTTGCGCCTGTGTGTTTATCACCTGAGCAACCATTACCGCGTTATCTGTAGACTGGTCCGAACTTCCTGCCACAACTGAATTCCTTGCCACTTCTAGATCCCCATGTGTTGGTGGGAAATATACAGGGAAGAAATCCTTGTAAGCTTGCTCATCCACAGCGGATTTTGCACAAAAGATGATGCGTTCAAAGATGATGCGTTCAAACCGGCTTTCAGAGCGCGCATCCAAATCCTCGCGAACTGCTTGAAGTGCTATACGTGCAGCTTGACGTGGACCAAAGCCACAGCCTCTTGTGCCCAAGCAAGGAAAAGCCACGGTTCGGATTTGGAGGTCAGCCGCTGCCTTCAAGGAATTGCGATAGCAATCGGCAAGATTACTCAACTGGGCCATGCCGTCCCCTCCGAAAGACGTCGGTACTGCAGCATGAAGAACCCAAACCGAAGGGAGATTGTGTCCGTGGGTTACTTCGACTTGGCCGAACTTGATTTGGGGTTTCGATCTTGCCTCTTGTACAAGGTTTGGACCACCTGCCTCCATTATAGCGTAGTGCAACGAGCCCCGGGGTGGTGAGTATTTCAGGTCGACAGTGACGTTGTTGACAATGGCGTCTACCTCCATCCTTGTCAGATCATAGTTACAGAAAGAAATCATGCGATTGTAAGAATCGTCTGGTGAGTAGCTCTGGTCTAATTGTAACAGTTGTCGTGAACGGTATAACGACCTTAGTGTGGGAATGTCCTTCGTCTGAAGGACTGGCAGTTTTTCTGACCCATGAGCGACGGCTAGATGATATGAGCTTTTCGGGTTATTCATTTGATTTGATATCACGTCCAGTATATTTTTATTCGCATCAGGAAGTTGTTGTAGGTTTTCGGCAGATAGAAGATCGTGGCTGGGATCAACCTCATGAACAGACTTAGACGGGTCAAAGTGTAGGGTAGCTGTTTAACATGTCAGCTGGTGCCGTACATAAATTTCACGCTCTTGTATGTGGATGAACTTACTAGGAGCGTTTTCTTTGCTCTTTTCTTTCCCTTTACTCATATTGGCGGATATAGAACTCCAAAGAGACTTAGAGGTAGTACTGCCGGGGCTCGGGATCCCACTGGCACCATCCGAGTCGTCTTCCATACTATGAGGCAGAGCAAAGGTTGCGATTCGCTCCAGATGATTCGCGATGTGGCTTTGCAAGTCGCCTATCTCTTTGGCATCCGTCGGTGCGCGGCATATGGGGCATCTTTCTCGCAAGTCTACTGTAGTAGCCTCGCCAACCTTGGCAATGGTCACCAGCTGGCTCTCTGGAAAGCTATCGAGATGCGTTTGCCGAAGGTGATCTTCCAAGCCCAGCTGAGAATGGAAAACTGCATTCGGATGCTCCGGACATCTCCACACTTTGCGGTGGCTTGCTTCGTGCTCGGCCCACTCTCTACGACTGCGAAACAGTTGATGCGAGCTTTCACAGTCCTGGTATGTACAGATATACGGTTGTAAGTCTTGAAGCAGATGTGTCCTCCAGGCTTTCCCTTTTCCGTATCTTGCAGGGCAAACGATCCAACAATAGGGACATTCGAATTCTTTGTCACCATCAGCTGATTTTGGTGGCGGAGGAAGATCGATGCCTTTTCCATGTACATCTTTCACCGTTATAGCGTAGCTTGTGACGGATTTGTTGTCTACTATATCATCCAAGGATTGGTGAAGCTGCGTTACTTCTGTCCCTGAGAGCATTGTCTTACCGGTCTTCTGACTTGGCGCTTCTTTCAGGACTGCAACTATGGGTACCGGATGTGATTTTGGGCTTTCATCAGATGCTGTCGCAGGTCTTTCGAATGGTGTTGTGACATTGAGGCCCTGTACATCTTCGGAAATTGTAGAGGCACTTAATTTGTCCCGATCTGAGCAACTAGTTAGCTGCATATGACTGTCATATTCTCAAAGACTTACGTCGTTTCCAGTACTTGAATTGTCGCCTCCGAAGGGTGACAGATGCGCTCAACCGCTTGATCAAAAAGTCTTGATCTTCCTGCGTCTCATTGGCTACGTAGGATTGACGCAGATGCGACACCAACTCCTGGACATGCTTGAGGTCTTGCGCAGCGTACATGTCAAAGATGTCGATTCCCGTCTCTGGATCCTTTTGTGTGTAAGAGGATGCTTTGAGAGATCTTGAGCGTAGACCAGGAGTTCTGATGCGGACGCTAAGCTTGTAGAGGTTGTCGATAATGTCAACGATTTCCCCAAAGCGCATTTTCAATTCGGTTCTAGGTTCATCGCTGCTGCTATCATCATCGTCTTCTTCCGCACTGAAGAAACCGTCATCATCATCATCTTCAATCATGTCTGGGCGGGCCTGCTCTTCGTAAGGCAGGCGAGCCTCAGATGCCACGGCATAAGCTTCATTGACGTTGGTTTCAAGCTCCCTAAGAAGCTTTAGCGTGTTGGTATTGGATACTGGTGAGTCTCGTAGCCTGTAGTCAAGCGAGCTGTGCCCTTTCTGCAGAGCACCGAGGTTTCCAGCCCAAACACGGAACCTCCCGATTTCGTCTTCAAGTGCCTCTTCGTCGATTGCATGTGTCCATTTCCGGTCGCTGGTTTTGAGTGCAGTGGTCAGATTTTGGAAAGCGCGAACATTGGAGGCTGTTGCTAGTCTTAGAGAGGACATGACAAACAATTGGCATGTTGGGGAAAGAGCAAGCGGGGACGGAGAGAACTGGGACTGGAACTGGGACCCTGAGGGTAATTTGGTCTTTGAGGGTGTCGATAGCTCTCAATTATATGCGTCTTCGATAAAGGTCGATGTGATAGTTTATTCGTACCGTTGCCTCAATCGACATGGGGGGTTGGTGATGCTACTAGAGTTTTTGTAGTTTGGCGGGGGCGCAGCTGAGGCTGTGTTTTGCAGGCAGCCGTGTGTTCGTCTCTGTCACCTCTCTGCTCACAAATAACCCAGAGTCCTGTATAATATCCAGATAATCCTAAAGATTCATAGTCACCAACTTTGGTCATTCGAGGTGGCCAGCGTGTTTCACGAGCACGTGCTTCGACAGTATCGTAAGCGCCAGGCCCCACTCGTTCCTTCTCCCCGCGCGCGCCAAATGACCCGTGACGCCTTCTTTTGTTGGATACTGTAGAAAAGCGCTGCAATGAGCGGCGTAGAGGTAGCTGGTCTCGTTCTTGGCTGTCTGCCGTTGATCATACAAGGTACGCAAAAGTCGAGTTGTGAGTGAGGGGTAACAACGAGCTCACAGCAGATTAGCAATCGAAAGCTACAATGAAGGACTAGATCCAATTAAAGGCTTCTTTGGAAGAGACAAGGAGCTCCCTATTTTTATAAGAAAATTAAGGGCTCAATACGATCACTATGATCAGACAATCCAGCTTCTCTTCGGGTCTATCACGTCGGATGTTGAGTTTGCTTTAATGATGACTGACCCTGGGTCGTCGCAAGAGCTTTGGAAAAGTAAAGAGGAGGCACTCCAAGACAAGTTGCAGACTACGTACAAGTCGTATCAGAGGACAGTATTCGAGATTGAAAAAATAACCAAGAAGATAGCAAGCAAGCTAGATCTGGACCGCGCAGCAGAGGTAGGAACGGAAAATGGTAGGATGCTCGAACGATGCTTATATAAATCTTAGATTACACGCAATGATCTCGAGGCACTGTTGGCCGCGAACCCCAAAAAGGCCAACGACAAGTTTGAGATTAGAAAGCGCGTCCGCTTTGGCATGAACAAGAAGACGATCAAGGCGCTCCTGGAAGAACTGGACGAATGCAACAAAAGCCTCGAAAGGTTCACGGAAAAGAGTGAGAAGATAGAGACGTACCACCGAGCGACGAAGCCTTCGTATGCCTCGCGGCTGCAAAGACTACAGCAGTATGCCAAGACGTTGCACGAGTCGCTGAGTGTATGCTGGTCGTGCTCGTGCAAGTCATCGCATCGGACAAGCCTCCAGTTAGAGCTTCGGGAAGATGTCTTTGCTCCGAAAGCGCAGAAGCAAATCGATACTCCAAAAACAAGCTTTAGTGTTGCTTTTTCAACCACGGACTCTGATGGAAGCGGTGTGTCATGGTTAATGCAGACTGCAGAGATATGCGTGGAAGAGGAGGAGGAGAAGGAACACGTCGTTCCCATGGCATCTCCCAAACCAAGGTATGTATGAAGACAACGGAGACATTTCCAATGGCAACGATGCATGCGTGCGCGCGAGCCATGAGATTGTGAGCTAACAGTGGTAGGATGACGAAGAGCGTCAGCTTCGGAACCCCTCCGCCATACGCAGTGAGCGATCCTACCAAAAAGGCCTTTGGTCGGCACCAAGAGGTGAAGGACTTGTGTGCATCTATTCAACAACTACACAAAAACGCTGCGAGAATCGGCTTTTCGTTGGATAGCAAAAGCAAGTTGCGGGGCGCTTACCCATTGGATACAGCAGAAAGATACACGCCTACCGTGGAACTGGTATCTCTAGAGGATCTGCTTCGGCAGCCACCAGTCATCAACGGCAGACGCTCGAAGCTGAGCATGAGGGACAGGTATAGCTTAGCGTTGACACTAGCGTCCAATGTCTTGTATCTGAACTCGACGCCGTGGTTGGCCAACGAATGGGCTGCTCGGGATATTATGTTTCACCGAACGTCGAATACTGCACAACCGATAAACATTGAGCGCCCATATCTAGCGCCCGCGGTTGTTGAGGCGGCCAATGGCACGGCGAGAAACATGCAGCCAGGCGGCTTCAGGAACACCGTCCTGATTGCACTGGCCGTGGCTCTTCTGGAGTTGTACTTTGGAGTGACTGCTGAAAAGTATCAAGAGTCCGGGACGGACGACGAGGTGGGTGATTTGTCCAAGCAGCCGGGGCCGTGGAAGCTCTGGGCACTGGCGCGTAACTGGACCTTCAACGAGTCTGGGAACCTGTCTGCTGCTTTCCAGAACGCGATTCGGCATTGCATAACAGGGTCCAGTGATCCTTGCGCCACTCTCGAGGATGCCGAGTGTCTCCAGGCAGCGGTGGAAAACATTGTTCTGCCACTGCAAGAGGAGCTCCACCAGTTCCTGGGCAAGACGACAAGGTGAATAGAACAGCGTGATATAGCTACAGTGCCGGGTCGGAACGGCAGCCGCTTACTCAACGCACATCACCTCGTATTCGATGCACCCCGCGCGCGGTCGGGATCCGACTCTGGGGTAAAACGAGACTCGCTACTCTTAGTGCGGCAGATGTTGCTGGAACGTCATGATTGAGGGGTTTGTGCAATCGTTAGGCTAAAGTAGTTTGGATGCGGATGGCGGCAAGGTGAGCAAGGTGCCATGGCAACAAGCGCACCTCACGGGAAGGCAGCGTGGCAAGTTTGGTATTGTAGTGAGAGGATGGCTTATCGGATGCGGCCACAGGCGCGGTTGAGGGTTTGGAGGGTTTGGTGGGCACAGCATGGGCCATGTCTCGCACCTGCCACATGGGTAAAGTGCAGTGTAGGTACCTAGGTAGGTGTAGGGACATACAAAGACCCGGTTGGTTGGATATGTCGTTGGAGGGAGAGGCGTGTGATTCAAAGAGGTGCGACAAGAAGCTTTGCGTGGGCAGTGGGGCGTAAGCATGTGGAGACGATTGGTGATTGTGGCATTGCGGGGGTGTCCGTTATCTATCTGACATTATCCACTGCCACTGCGCACTCGACATGGTCGCTCGACCGGGCAGCAAGAGGTGCGCATGTGTGTATGTGTCCCGGGATGGATGAGCACAGGCGATTGAGGACAACGTCATGGGCCATGGATGACCATGGAGGAGAAAGACAATTTAGCTGGGCCCCTAATGGAAATTTCAATGGGCATTGAAGATCTAGCGCACCGCCAGTGCACGGCTTGCATGACGCGGGATAAGGCGTGGGCTGCATTGCGATGAGGATTCCAGGTTGATTAGCTTGTTATGCTGAACAGGCATGCGTGCCAAACAAGGCGCATGTAAGACGGGGTCGTCGTGGACGTGGCTGTGAGAGGGTGCCATTGGTGCCGGCGCGGCGGATAGTTTGACATGATGTTTTTTTTCTTCTTTCTTTCTTGCAAGCGCAACGTAAGTGGTCTGTGGCGAAGGCGCGGTGAAAATGCCCCGATGGGACGATTACGGCTCGAGTAGGTAGCTGGTTGGGCAAGCAAGCAGCAGGTTATGTTGTACACCGCCTAGGGCGGCGGGCCAATATGCAGCTTGCGACGGGGGGCGCAGGTGGGACAAGGAGCTAGAAGCGAGTGGCTTCGGCAAAGGCTCTTGTTGGCGCGCGCGCGACAGGGCACCGACATTGCTGAAACAAGGCCTACACGTACAGTCGGACGAACGATGCGGAGAGCGGGAGGGATTAGCCACGGCGAAGGGCTGCCAACAAGGGACAAAGGGCGGGTGGTGTGAAAAGGAGTACGCAAGTCGGCAGCCTCTTGGGCAGAAGGGGGGTGTGTGTGCTATGTGTGTCGTGTGTGGCTGCGGTAATAGGGTTGCGACAGCGCTCGCTCTATTAATGGAAATAACAGACATGTCGGGCCAATTCTCCAACGTCTGTCGGCGGTTTGGTAGAGGCAGAAGCAGGCAGGGCTTGGCTTGGTACGTACATGTGCGGCTATGTACTGTAATGTAATGTACACATCGACTGGCTGGTATACGTCCATGTAAACTATGTATGGGCTGTATGCAGCGGGTAGTGTACATACACCACGCCACTATAGCATGCACGCTACATGACGACAAGATTGGCAGACACCCAACTGCTCCCGCCACCACTACTACTACTACCATAACAACAACAACAACAACAACAACATTTATCAACAACCATAACAACACCACTGCATCCACCCACCACTCACCCATCCTTCGATCCATCCTTCCACCCATCCACCCTCTATCCCCCACGCCCCTCCCACCCCCCTTTCTGCTCCTCCGCCCCGACAGTGCTGCGGCTAGTGGGTTTGAAGCGGCGGCCAGAATTGCGCACTCAACGCCCGCCAGACAGCCCAGGGCCATCCTGGTCGAGCCTGGTCTTGGCGCACCGGCACCCCTTAACGTCACCTTCGATTCCGTTTTCTCGACTCCCAATTCAAGCTCCTGCCAACCCTTACCCTTTGGCACGCCTTCTCACACGACACTCGTTCACTCAAGGGAAACACGCCCGCCAGCCCTCCAGCGCAGAGCGCACCCGTCCGCTCCTTTGCTGCTGCTGAGCCTGCCCGACCACCACCGCACTTATACTCTCCCGTTCCCGCTTGCCCTTCTCTCTTTCTCCCTCCCTCCCTTCCACACGCATCCACTCACGCATCCACCCGCCCACCATGGCACAACAGTACGCCCCCCCCTTCCCTGCTGCTCCTGCCCCCCCTGCGCCCACATGGCTAACACCGCCCTAGAATCACGTCGTCCTTGAAGGACTTCTGGCACACAATGACTTCGTATGACCGACATGCCTCACACGACTCGCCCTATCGGACCGGCCGCCACATCCCCATCCCCCAGAGCCGCCATGCCGCCCTCACCTCCATCACCGCCAGCGGCGCAGAGTCCCGCACCGATCTCGACTCGCCCTACCAGCACGACGAGCTCGCTACCAGCAATGGCTTCATCGGCTCCCCCAAGGGCCCAATGTCCCCCAGCTCCCCCTACTCGCCCGGCATGCGTAGCTCTCTTAGCCGCCAGGCTACATTGGACTCGGATAGCTTCGACAAGGGCGCCAATGGCCAGATCCAGATGCAAGACTTCAACGAGGGTCTGCCTCCCCCACCGCCCGTCTCCCACTCGTGGAGGCGCATTGACCGCTGGGTCGAGGACAACTTCACAGAGCTGTTTGACAACATGTGCGAAGGATGCACATCCAACGACGTCAACGAGCTAGAGCACGAGCTCGACGCTACCCTCCCCATGGACGTGCGCGAGTCTCTTCAAATCCACGATGGCCAGGAGCGTGGCGGTCTCCCCACCGGTGTCTTCTTCGGCCTCATGCTGCTCGATTGCGAGGAGATTGTCATGGAGTGGAGGAACTGGCGCAAGGTCGCTGACGAATACCTGACCACAAAGGTCGACTACTCGACACCCCAAATCCCCGTCAAGGCCTTTGCTGGCTCGTCCACCACACCGCCCGTCGCCCAAGTGCAGAGCACCACAAACCCTCTGTGGCGGCAAGACCTGCTCGCTCGCCAAGACTCGCAACCGCCAAACGCCATACAAAAGGCCTACGCCCACCCTGCCTGGATTCCTCTTGCCCGTGACTGGGGAGGCAACTACCTCGCTGTCGACCTTGCCCCTGGTCCCAATGGCACATGGGGACAAATCATCATTTTCGGCCGTGACTACGACCGTAAATACGTCGTTGCACGCTCATGGGGCGCTCTTTTGGCCATGGTAGCAGATGATTTTGCCTCCAAGGACGTGCACCTGGACGAAGAAACCTCCGAGTTGAAGCTCTTGATCTTCAAGCGCCAGAATGTCGAGCCGCCCTATCTCGAGGTTCTCCGCTGGCGGTGCGATCAAAAGTACGGCCGCCGACCACCTAACAAGAAACGCCCAACAAGTGGTCTGCGCGTCAACCCAAATGCCCCGGGCATGGTCGTTCCTAGCAGCACAGCGAGCAGCCCCTACCACAGCCCCGTAATTGGCCCTGAAGATCGTGGTCGCAGCCCTCACCGTCTTTCGAAGCCACCAAAAGGTGTCAGCCCACGCGGTAAACTCTCGAGCCCCTTGGCCCGTGTGGCCGAGGAGCACCCCCAACCGGTCCGTGTGAATACAAATCTCGACTCAAAGGCTAGCGTCCCCACTGAGAACCTCATTTCCGTTGATACTCCGAGACCGAGCGACGAACTCTCGCAACCTCGCAACAGCCTCGGCAGCGACAAAGAGAACAAAGACACAAAGAGGACATCTTCATCATTAAAGAGTCCCACTGCCGTTGCAGAACCAGAAGGGCTGAAGAATGTCGAGATATAACAATCTCGCAGCAATCGATTCTCTCTCCAAACTATACTTTCCCATTGACGATCTACTATTAGAAAGAACCGGCTGGATACCTGGCAGTCCAATACACATGACAGGAGTGCAGGCGTAGCATGGAATACGATTCATCGCAAATTTGCCTTGTGATGACTGCTTGGCGTATTGACAACATTTCCCATTCTCCCAAATCAAACGGCGTTTTTTTTTTCAACAATGCAAATCTACTGTTTTTTCTTCTCCTCTACTTCTCTTCCCAGCACATACGGCCGCACCCCAACGTCTTGGGGGTTGATCATTTCCCGCAATCTCGCAGACCTTTTTGTCCACTGGCCGTTACCAAATGCACACAAAAACACAAGCCGTAAACCAGCACCACCAAAGCATGCTCCGTTAATCCTGCTCCTTAGCAACCCGCATATCACTTGCTTTGGGCTTCAACTTCTCATCTGCGCACACCAAACTTGTAACAACATGTTTTTCAACTTCTTCTTCTTCTTCTTCTCCTTCAGCTCCTAGCGCTGCGATGCTCGTCACTTTGGGCAACAAGACTTATCTTTTTTTTTCTTCTTTTTTCTTCTTTCTAATCTTCTTCCTTTACAGACAATGAGTAGTCGTGGTTTGGTATGATGGTTGTTGGGGTCTTACAGGGCTGAACAAATACACTCATGTCCTGGAACCGGGGGGATGTTTGTTTTTGGAGTAGTGGAACATATGAGTATGGGAGGAACGAACTTTTTTTGCTCTTCTTCTTCTTCTTTACCATGTGGGTTCTGAACGCCTCCTGTACACGTCAAGGAGGAAGAAGAGGCTTTGATAGCTTTGTTTTTTCTCCTATCTTCTCTTCGTTTCTCTGTTCCTTGGGTGTGCGTGTGAAGGGGGTTGAGGTAGACTTATCGGGCAAAGACGGGGGGGTTTGAGTGGTGGGAGGTAGCAGTAGTTGTAGAAGAACAAAATGTATGGGAAATATTCATTCGTTAGAAACTGTTCTCTCCGATACATGTGCTTTTTCTTATACTGTTCACACGGATCTTGACATTTTTTGTCGTATTTGTTGTGTTAAGTATTCTGAATAACTAACAAAAGCAGTGTCCCTAACATCCATTTCTACAAGGTTTTTTTTTCAAAAAAAATAACATCAGCCAAGGATGAACAAGTAAGACTTTCTATCTAGAAACCTAAGAAAAAATCACACGGCACCTTTCGTTATCAAAAACATGTCGAAAACAAACATACGGGAGGCAGATATCGTCCAGTGACACCATGATAACGTCTAGAGAGAGAGAGAGAGAGAGAAAACTGAAGATATTTATACATCAAGCTTCCTACTAACACACACACACACCTACACCTTCTCAAAAACGCCCTTAAACCTCTCCTTCCTCGCCTCAACCTCCTCCTTCAACCGCGCCTGTTTCTCCATCCTCCCAACACCTTTAACATACTGCAGCAATCGCAACGCCCCCGTCGGCGTGACTCCCTCCACCCTTCTCGCCATACCCACGCTCTCAGGCCTCGCAGCCTCGAGCGCGCGCTTCTCTTCAAAACTAAGGCCGAAAATAGACTCGTAGTCTAGATCGATGGGTAGCGATAGTTTTTCGTCTTTGAGCCAGCGGGCTTGGGATGCGGTTTGGTAGGCGACATAAGGGGCGTATGTGGCTTCGATGTGGACGCGGTGGCGGATGTGTGGGGTGAAGTCGTGGATTTGGGGGAGTAAAGGGGAGAGTGAGTCTGGGGTGGTGTTGGGGAGGCGGAGGAGGTCGTAGGCGGAGCGCTTGGTGCTGTCGTTTCGGACGGCGAAGCCGTGTTTAGTCCAGTCGGTCCAGCCCATTGTTTTGGATTGCAGGAGGGAAGTTAGGGTGGCGATTTGGGATACTTCGTCTGAGAAGGCGCGCCAGCGGGTGTCGCTGATTATGCCGGCAGCGTGGCCGAGGGGCGTGAGGCGTGAGTCTGCGTTGTCGGCACGGGCAGACATGCGGTATTCGGAGCGGGAGGTGAACATGCGGTAGGGTTCTGATACGCCTTTTGTGATGAGGTCGTCAATCATGATGCCAATGTAGCCGTCTGCTCGGGTTAAGACAAGAGGGTCTTTGCCTAGGCTTTTGAGTCCTGCGTTGATGCCGGCGATTACGCCTTGACCGGCGGCTTCTTCGTAGCCTGTTGTTCCGTTTATCTGACCGGCTAGGAAGAGGCCGGAGATGTTCTTTGTCTCTAGAGTGGAGCGTAGGTGCCGTGGGTCGACGTAGTCGTATTCTACACCATAGCCAGGTTGCAGCATAGTTACGTTCTCTAGACCCTTGATGGTTTTGAGCATAGTGTTTTGGACATCTGCAGGTACAGTACAAGAGATGCCGTTTGGATAGATAATGTCATTGTCGAAGCCTTCGGGTTCCAGCCAGACGATATGCGACGACTTGTCAGCAAAGCGTATGACTTTTGACTCCAATGATGGACAGTATCTCGGGCCCTTTACAGTTTCCCGGATATGTATCGATTTGTCGAGATTTTTCCGTATTACATCGTGTGTCGCTTCGTTTGTTCGTGTCTCGTGATTCAGTAATTGATTCTCCACCTGTACGCGGTCGTTCAGATAACTGAATGGCATCGGTGGATTATCTCCTTCTTGAGCCTCCAAAATCTTGTAGTTGATCGTCTTTCCGTCTAACCGCGGTGGTGTCCCCGTCTTTAGCCTTCCAAGTGTAAAACCGGCCTCTCTCAAACTCTTGCTTAGTCCAAATGTTGCAGCTTCACCCATGCGCCCAGACGGATATGCTTCGAGTCCAATGTGTATCTCTCCGCCCAGAAACGTACCAGTGGTAATTACCACGTTTCCTGTTGGTATGATTTCGCCGCTCTCCAGTCTGACACCTGTGATCTTGCCGTATGTTCCCTTTGAGCCCTCCTCTTGCGTCCGATCCACAATGATATCCGCTACACTCCCCTCTACTACACTCAGGCCCTTGTATGACAGCATTTCGTCCTTCATGTATTTCTTATACAGTGCCCTATCAATCTGCGCTCGTGGCCCCCATACTGCAGGTCCCTTCTTCCTGTTCAGTACTCTAAACTGTACACCGGCTTTGTCCACAATCCGACCCACGACACCGTCCAGAGCATCAATCTCGCGGAGCATAGTGCCCTTGCCGATTCCGCCAAAGGAAGGGTTGCATGAACATACACCGAGGTTTTCGACCGAGGGGGTTACAAGTGCTGTTCGGGCACCGGCGCGTGCTGCTGCTGCCGAGGCTTCGCAGCCTGCATGCCCGCCTCCAATGACTATTACATCGTATGGTCTAGGATACGGTCAGAGTTGGGCGACTAGCGGGGTAGTGAGGATGCAGCGACATACCGTTCAGTGGATGAGACCGTCGCAAATGTTCGATGACTTCGATTGAGGCGCCTCACCGACCGCACACGAGGCGCATGCCCCCATAGCTGACGCGCTGGTAGGGGTATTATTCTTTGCATATTGGAGAAGTGTGTTGTTGGAGTCCTGTAGTTGCGCCACAAAAAAGTTGAGGCGGCCTCTCGGAGGTCTTCGTTCGCCGCATTTTGTGTCTGTGCTCAGGTGGGTAGGTACGTAGTAGTAGCTCGAGAATAATTGCTGAAGTGGCGTTGACACTGGCAAAAGAGCATGTGAAACGAATTCATGACTGCTGGCTGTCTTCGAAATCACGGGCAGGGCGAATCAATGCATTACAAGGAAAAAGGTATCATTCGGAAAGCATTGTCGCCAGCCGCTTTGAGCGGAGAGATCATACAGTAGAAAAGTTCAGACAATATTCATACACTCTGCTATCTTGAATCAAGATTCGGCAAACACTTCGTACTGCGGTTTGCAAAGGCTGTCGCCACTAATATTCGCAACTGTGTGTGCATTGGCCTTGCCACGCCACCCTCTTACAGTCGGCCTCCGAATTTAAGACATGTTGCGCAAAGTGACATTGATTCTACATGAGAATTGAAGCCGTGCATGTCTAGCCGGAAGACTCTTGGATGAGACCCTCGTCGTTGGTATCAGGCTCGTCGCTGCGGGCGCGCGACAGCACGTCAAAGTTGCCTAGCAAAATTGTTAGCAATGACTCCCAACCTAGCATTAAATCTTGTAGCAAAAACGTACGGGCAACCAAGCTCAAGTTGCTCTTCTTGTTTCCCTCGCTATCGAGATATGTCTCCATACGCGCATCAGCATCGACATAGAGCAGCGAGCCCTTGGGCACATTCATCAAGAAATCCTTCTGTGCGCCCTGGACAAAGCTAGCAATCCGGAACCAACTTGTCTTTTTCTCTTCACCCTTGCCGTAGTTGGTTCCAACCACATAGCGCACCAATGTTCGGTCTCCGGAAATGGTAACCTCTTCTGGCGCAACTCCCAGGCGGCCGACAACAGTCATGCGGGCAACTTGCGAGGGGCGAGTGGAGGAGAAGCTGCGTGTGAAGGCGGCAGTGGCGGGCTGTGCGCGCACAGCATTGCGGATGGTGGAGGTGAACATGTTTGCTGGTGGTGGGAATCGTCGAACTGGAGAGCTTGTCTGGGTTGTCAGGTAGTTGGCGGCAAAGTTTATGTCAGTGGTTGTTCGGATGCAAGAGAGTGGGGTTGTTTGCTGACGAGGGGGCGCGACGTGGACGCGGTTGTGCGACAGAAATACACTTTGCTGTTTTGGGCTTGGGCCATAACCAGTTGCAATGGTTCAACGCTACCCTGCGAGTATACGAGGTTGACATATCAAGACTAATCGCCCAATGGATTGAAACATCGTACGCGTATCTGTTTTACTGGGGTTGACCCAGCAGTGTAACTGGGTATCGCATTGCTTTCATTACCGCTTAACCCTTTTGCTATCTCTCTCTTCTTCGCTATCATAATCTTTGTAAATGCCTACTGGCTGTGTCTTCTCCCATGCACCCGTGAAAATGGCCTTTTCACCTTCTTTTGGGGCATACTTGAGCAGCGCTTCTCTAGGGTCTTCGTCCCTCATATCACTGCCCGCAATCTGCTCCATGACATACTTCTGATCAGGTGTAGACTTGGCAAAAGGCGTCGTAGCAGGAATATGCGGTCTTCTGGGATCTCTGCTCTTGCCTGATGCCGTGAGGCCAATGGTAGGATGGCGCGCTGAGAAGGATGCCGCGTTGCCGGACGGATCGTGGGCCTCGCCTGCCATACCTAGGGGGTCCATATCTACCGTGAGGGACGGGTCGTCGTCAACGTGTCGCTTCTTGGGCTTTTTACTGAGGATGGTAAGGGCACCGGCGTTGGATAGCTTGGGATTAAAGAGGATGGTCGTTTGACCATTGGCTGAACCTGTGAGGATTTGGTTGAGCTTCGGGTGCCAATTGACCGTGACTAAAGGAGAGCCTGGTGTTACAGGCGTGACGAGCTCTGGACGAAGCGTCGCTGGGTTGAGGATATGTAGATGGCCAGTTCCAGATCCTGTAATTATGCTTTGCATATTCGGCGCGAACTGAATGTTCGATGTGGGGAATTGTGACGAGGTAGAAGGGTGTGATGTCGTGTTCAGAGGTATCTTGAACTTCCTCGTGTCCCATAACTTGATCGTGTCGTCGCCGCCTCTCGTGACCACTAACCTCCCGTCTGCACTGATATCAATTCCGCTGGTCCAAGTGTCTTTCGTATGCGCATCCTTGATTTCAGCTGTAGGCCGATGATATGGTCCTTCGCCACCCCACATGACCAGACTTCCATCAAGGGCTGCCGAAACCAGCATACTGCTTCCTCCTTCGGCTGCAGCGCCCCAGGCAATGGCAGTCATTCTGGTCATACCCGCGCTGCCAGCAGCTCTGGATTTGTACACAATGACCTCTTCCTGCTTCATCCTCTTGTTGACATCCCATATCCGCACTGTACTGTCCGTACCCGCTGTAGCAAAACGATCGCGATTCGTCGGGTGCCATGCACCACTAGTAACCTCTGCCGTGTGTCCCTTTGTATTGTGCTTGTCTCTCAGATACATGTCGCCTTTGACGAACTCCGATATGAGATCTCCATCCCGGCTGAAAAGTCTCGGTTGTGATGTCGCGGTTATGCAAAGAAACTGTCCTCCAGACTGTGGACCGAATAGGACCTGGTGTATTGAATGCGACTCGGCTGTCTGTGATGGCTTGGTAGTGAATGGGTCGACGGTTTTGAACGCGCGAATCGTGCTCGGGGTGAGCGCACTCAGGTCGTGCAGCTTGAGCATGCAGTCATTACTGCCAGTCACCAACCGCGTGCCAGAGGGATCAAGGGCAATTGTCGTAACTGCGCGATCGTGCGTTTTGATAATCAACTCGTGCGACACTGGGAACTCGTCTTCTTCGTCGCTCATATCGCTATCGTCATCGGAGTCTTTGTCATCGTCTGATCCGTCATCTTTCTTCGCTAGTTTGCTCTCGTCGACAACCTTCCGGCGTGCGCGTTCGATCTGGGCTTCAACGTCTACAGAGCCATCTTTTTTCCCAAACTGACTGGGCATGTACTGTTGGAGAGCATCATTTTCATCCGCGGAGAAATCCATTTTGCTCTGTAAGCACAATAAGCAGAAGCTGTGTTGTTGTCTTGAGCTGACCCAGTTGTGAGAAAGTTCTAGGTGGAGGCTGCAGTATGACGCGCCGCACTAGCATAGCGCGCCCGGGTGACTGTGGGTCCAACTACCACTCAGTTTGGAAACATGCCTCATGTCGACATTACATCAACCCTTTGCATGAAACTTAGAAATATCGTGGCATACAATTTGTGTCACATACTCGCCATATCACGCAATAGAGAATGATGTACAAGTGCCGACAAACCTCTTAAGACACAAGAACGGTTCTACGTAGGAATCTTACTGCATGAGGCGGTCCAGTTCAGTACGCCTTGTCTATCGCTCGTTTGCATGCAGCCGGCCAATAGTCATTCAGTAGTAATGAAATCATCCGGAACTAGTGATACTTGGTCAGATCACAGGTGTACAGCCTCGGAATTCCTTGGAAAGCTGCTGGTATAAAGTCGTAGCCTCGACAGACATGCTCGCTATCATCACTACTTGAAGCAGCACACTTTGAACTTGTATAATATCTCCGTCATGGCGCGTACTCTTATCGTATTTGGAGCTGGTTCTGGCATTGGTAACAACGTGGCTGCGGAATTCGCTTCCAAGGGCATCAACCATATCATTCTCCTCTCCCGTAACACAGAACGACTACAGAATGAAGATGCGCCTTTTGTCTCGAAAGGCAACTCTTCCGTCAAAGTGGACACTCTACGCATCGATCTTGCAGATCTAAAATCGATTCCTGGTGTACTCAAGGAGCTTGATAGCCTGACCGAGGGCGAGGATGTCGAAGTCATTTTCTTCAACGCGGCGCGCGTCAAGCCAGGCGAAGTCCTGGGCGTGGATGTTGAGGAAATCGATGAGGACTTCAAGGTAGGATGTCCTTTTCCCACATGCTCATCCACATGACCTATCACGTAGTGTCCACTGACCATACTCCCAGACAACCAATCTATCTCTCTACGTAATCTCACAACATTACATTCCCAAGCTCCAAGCCCTCGCCAAATCTAACACCTCTCTTAAGCCTGCTCTTCTTGTTACAAGCAGCCACCTGCCATGGGATCCCATTCCGCAGCTTCTTTCATTAAGTCTGGTCAAGGCTTCACAGAAGAACATGGTGGATAGCTTCCGTCGCTATTTTGGCGACAGTGGTATTCATTTTGGTTTGATTCATGTCGAAGGAACTGTAGCTCCTGAGAACAAAGTGCTGAACCCTGGAACAATCGCCAAGAAGACAGTGTCATTTTGGGAGAGTGGAAAGGGCGAACATATCAACATCAGAGAGGAGTGATGCACTATTGATGAGAGAAGAGTCAGATGCTGGGTTGCTCGTTGAAATAATTTGTAGTCAATTGAGTTTGTTGTCCAATAGTAGCTACAATAGAGAACTGTGGTTTACGAAAGTTATGGCCTTTCTTTAAATCATTCGGTTGATGAAAGCCAAGCATTTATACATCCTACCTATAAAGTACTCTTCGTATCTAGTCACACGCTATTCAACCTGAAAAATAGTGATGTGTTATATCGCACTCACTACATAGCGTGCCAGTGAAGTGCTGATAGTCTTGTATGAGTGGTGTAGTTTTAGTGACCAAGGAACCAATGTGTATAAGATACTCTCACATATTCTGTATGAATTTAATGAGCACAGGATTGTGGACTCTCAGTATTACGAAGAAGGAATACGATAAACGTGCATCTGCATACGCAAGCTTGTATAGAGGCGATGCAAATAAACGTCCACTTCTCCGTCCGTCTCCGTAATCGTCTTCTCGGGATTGTAGACCATGTACTCGTGTGCTGAAAATCTAGTCTTTCACATAAGCTTATGATAGCATTACAAATGAAACGGCCAAACATGAGATCTACACTCTTCCAGGGCACTCCCTGAAGCTTACTTCTCTATCCCTTTGGTATCATCGATCATGAGTTCACACTGTAGTTTGATCGACCGAACAATAAGTCCGTATGAATTTCAATATGACAAGCAACCCTTGACTTTTTTTCTATGATCAGAAGTCTAGTCAAGTTGAACAGAGCATTCAAGTATACACACCCTCATCCACGAACAAGCGAAGGAACAAGCAGCGAACAAACAAACAAGTGTAGAAAAAAGTGCGCAAACGTAAAATTAGAACCAGAAGAAGGATTAGAAGAAGAAGACGAAAAGAAAACCTCATAAAAGAATACATTAAATGCTACCATGATCCATCTCGATCGCGATCCCATCCAAGATTCAATCACGATCGAAAGGCACAATCCCGATCTAGCGGCGCAATGCAAGCAGCAATCCCTCTCAGTAATTCCTTCTTTGCCCTTCCCTGCACCCTTCGTCCTTTTTGCATCCGACCTTCCTTTTCCCGCAGTCGCACGCGCGCGCGGCGCTCAACCTCCCGTCCGTTTATCGCGAGCTCGGCACCAGGCACACCCGCACCCCGGCCCCCGCTCTAACCGGAGCCGTGGCGACGAAGCAAACGCCCCAAATATACCTGAAACAACCCAACCTCGTAAACCTGTGCTGTTCCTGTACGTGATCAAGAGACCCCCCCTCCAACCTGCAGTCCCCACACCAAGGCCCCCTCCGAACCGCGTGCACAACAAATCTCCAAGCACGGGCATGTCACCGTCCGTGAAAAAAAACCTACTCCAACATTCTAGACTCCCAACCCCCCTTCTCCCCACAAGGCCCCCCCTCCCCAAAGCCACTATCATCTCATGTAAGATAAGCCCGTCCCCGAAGGACGCACAATTGCGCAACCAAACACGTAGCCCCAAAGGTGTAAAGTAAAATAACGAGCAGCCCCAAAAGCAAACCAATGCCGAAAAGCAAAGCCAGGTTCAATTTTAAAAACACGAAAAAGGCGTGTATGTGTCAGCATATGGTAATCAAAGGGCGAGCAGAGTCTCGCAACCAACAGTGATGACGATGACGACGCCTCTGTATGCCGGAGAAAACCGCCAACAAGCTTTATCCCTTTTCTTCTTGCCTACCCTTTCTCTTTTTGCCAAAATACAATTGTGAAGCCAAAAAAGATTGTGAGACGAACGCTTCGAATACAACCGAATTGCACAAGCACGTTCGTACGGGGGGAGGTGTAAAATAATGAACAGGGCAAACATACCCAGCCCCACACACACACAAACACCCGTACCTACACACAGACAAAGGCCGATCAAACACCTCCCTTCCAATCCCCCCTCAAAAAAAAAGCCCACCCGCTCGCACATAAAATCTCATACACACGGCACTTGCGGGTTCATCGGCCCAACCGGCCCAACGCCCGCGCACCCGCGGGGCCAGCAGCGGGCGTAGACGTACCAAAGCTTTTTCCCTCACCCCCTCCCCAGCACAAAAAAAGGCAAAAAAACGTGGCGAGACCGGGGTGTGTGGGGGGGGGAGGGGAAAGGATGTGGAAAAGAAAAAGCAAAGTAAGAAAGGTAAACTGTTGCAGTGCAGCCGGTGAGATGTAACGGGATTGTGAAACAACAAGGGTGGGAATGGATGGTGGCGGCGGCGGCGACGGCCGTGATGGCCGGACTCCGAGCGTGTGGACTATCCTATCTGGGTAGAGAGAGAGAGAGCGAAAAAAAATGAGAGAGACAGAGTAAGTAAGCATGTGTAAGAGGTAAAGGTGCGGGGTACGGATGCTGGAAAGGGAAGGAACGAAAGTCGAGGGGGGGGGAAAGACATTATAGAAAGATACCGCGGTACATATCGTGGTATTCATCAGGAAAAAAGAAAAAAAAGAATGACGATGAAGAGGGCACTTTACACTGCCTTTTTTTTTTCGCTATCTACGCAAAACCCCTCCGTTTCTTGCGTAGGGAGCGAAAAGCTGTGTGTATATCTACACCGGTCCCCGCTTCTCACCTATCATGGCTCTCTCTCTCTCTCCAACATACAGGAGATATGAGAAATGAGAGAGATATGAGCGAGATAACACCGCGTATCGAGACTAGCACAATATCAAAGATAACCGAGATTTGGATGGGAAATAGAAGCCACGTGATGACCTAGAACAAAATAGACGGACGAAAGAGAAAAAAAAACCAAGGATGTAGAAGGAGATTTGACTATTCCCCCCTCCCCCCAGGAAACAAAATGAAGAGCTTATTAAACCAAGGGAAATTTCACGCAACCGCATAGTGAAGGACAAGACAGGGGACACACAAGGAAAGATGATGAGCAAGTTTCTGATTTTTTTTTCATTCTATGCATTGAAGTGTAACTGATTCCAAGTATTAAGCGCAGACAGGCACACATTGATACAACGATGCCTGATAAAAGGCAGAACAGGACACATTTCGACGATGATTGAGGAAAGAACAATGTGTGAAGTGTAAATGTGTATATAATGTGTCTTTGCAACAACGACAACAACTAAAAAGGCTTTCCCTTTCCCCCAAAAACACCCCCATGACTTTTGTAAGCAAAACGATGCCGCCAAACAGCTAGGATATGTGTTCTTTCCCGCAACCAACAAGAGAAGAAAAAACAGAATGAGCGCTCTGGCAAGATGTGGATGCGACAGGCAAGAAAGACCTAAGAAATGAAAGTGGTAAAACAGGGAAAAATCGAAGATAATCAAACAATGAGACTTTGAAAAAGCAGAAGAGAAAAAAGGGGTACTCATGTTCGTAGTTGTCATGACCAAGCCTAAACAAGCCAATATCCGGTGACAAAGACCACCCGTTTGCTCAAACGGCTGGAAGAGAGAGAGGAAGATAGATAGAAAAATGAAAACAGGATGGGATGCAATGCAGCACTTATGACCCCAACACAGGACAGACTTCGGTCTAGCAAATTAAAACACAAAGTCGGAAGAGAAGATGTAAACAGAAAAAACAAAAAATACAAACAAAGAGGTATCCTTCTAGATCGCTGCGCCTTGACTACGCCGAGATGCTCATTTCACGTGTGTAACGTCGTGATGGGACTGTTGGTGGTGGCGGAAACGGTGCCTACTCAGTAGTGGCTGCCCGCCATCAAGCCATGTTGTGGCGGCGCCATGGTCATGCCTAGGCCGGGACCAGGAATGTCGTTGATTGAGTGAGACAGGCCAGAGAGGTAGTCGTTGCCAGATTCAGGCGACAAATCATCCTCGAGCGACTGGAGGTGGTCATCCTCACCTTCCAGGTCTTCGTCCTGGTAATCGCTCAGCGGCTCGCCGTCAGCGCGGGGCTCGTGTGTGCGACGATGTCTAATAAACTAAATTAGCATTTTGCTTATTTGATTGGATGGTTGCTAGCGAGGAGATAACGTACTGGGCAAGGTTGTCTGAGCGTGAGAAAGCCTTGTTGCACAACGGGCAAACGTATGGTCGTTCTTGAGTGTGGGTACGCACGTGCCTAAGCGCCGGGGGTCAGCGTCTATGCAAAACAACAAAAATAGTGGGGCAAGGAACAACGTGGTGAAACATGAGGGAGAGAAAACAGGAAATTGCGCGCGCTTACCTCTTGAGGTGTTCTAATCTCTTGAAGAGACGGCCACATGTAGGGATCGGGCACGAGTGCGACTTTTGTGGATATGGACCAATCTCCATCATGGTGGCACTTCGGGCGCGCCTGTAGATAGGGCCACCAGCGCCAGCGGTACGAGCGATGGCGCTGTGCTGCAGAGGGCTCTCGAACAGCTCACCGCTGACCAGGTTGTTGAGGTCGTCGTGCTGCAGAGGAGCTGACTGGGGCTCAGGGTCCTCCTCGACAGTGTTGAGCGGAGTTCCTTGACGAGACATGTCAAAGGCTGGCTTGGACTCTGGCATTTGAGGAGCATAGCTTGCGCCATTTGCACTGTTGGGCGAGTTGTGTGTGCTCTCGTCAACCTCAGCTAGGGGAACAACTGAGCTTGACATTGACCGCCTCAAGTCACTGGGGCGGTGGACTTGATGGGCACCGGCACCAGAGGCAGTGACGGCAGCAGCAATGCCAGCAGACAGGGAAGAGCGCCTTCTCCGTTGCTTGTAGGTAGGCGAGCCCTCGATGACCGAGTAGACGTTGCCAGGAGCAAACGGCCTTGAAACACCGGGATAACCAGGGCCCATCAGGTTCGATGGGGGAAGGTTCATCAGTGGGTTGAAGGTGTTGGGAGCTGGAAGGTCTGGGATGGCGCTGTAAAGACCAGTGTCCTCGTTCGCAATGTATGCGGGCTCGGCACCAAGGCCAATCTGGTGTTGAGGAGGGGTCAATGGCTCAAAGGACATGCCGCGAGTGCTGTAATCCTCGTAGTGAGAAGAGACAAATGAAGGCGCGGGCGAGTACTCCATGTATGCGGGCATGGAACTGTGTCGCTGGTGGATCTGCGACAAGGGAATGCCGTTGCGGTCGTACTGGAAAGACTGGCTCATCTCGCGTTGCTCTCTGCTCTTTACAATGTTGTTAGGCATTGAAGGAGGCATCGACATTTGCTGGTGGTAGTGAGCCATTGGGTCCTCGGCGTGCATTGGCTGCTGCATCGAGGGCATCGACTGCTGGACGGGCACCATTGTTGGCGGGGGCATGGATTCCATGCTGCGCATGTCGGGCGATGTGGTGGGGTAGGATGACTGAACGTTGTTGTTGAAAGAAGAAGAGTTTGTTTGTTGAGCCTTGGTGAGCTGCTCGAAAAGCGACTGTGATGAATCAAACTCAAAGGAAAGGGCGGGCTCGCTGACGGCCATGGTGGTGGCCTCTTGGCCCATCTTCTCGCGCTTCAGGTCGCGCTCAAGAGCATCGAGGAAGAGGCGGTCGTGTGGCACGCTGTACCAGTAAAAGACTTTTTGCTTCTTTTGGGTGCGGATGCAGTTGTTCTTGTACAGGAAGTCGAGGAATGCGCTCTTTGGCTCCTCAAGCGAGGCATCTGTGCCGGACTTGAGGTTGCGCAGATCTGAGAAGATGCCCTCTTCGAACTTTTTCGAGTTCTTGACGGGGCGGCCAAAAGCCTGGAATCTGAATGACAGACATCTTACAATGTCGGTGCCGGAAATGTGAAAGAGGTTGTTCCTACAAAGCGCGGCGGGGTTAGAAGGGTGGTGCGGGGTGCAGATGCAGGTGGCGGCAGACTTACCAGAGAACGCACGAGACGTACTCGCCGGTGGGGAGCAGGAAGCGGCGAATGTACTGGTCGGGTTGCCAGTCTACAGGAGCGGAAATGAGAAAGTACTTGACTGTGGTGCAGGTGGCGTGTCAGTTTGTGATGGGCGCAGGCGGGGGGCAAGAGATGCAGCAGTGGGTACACATACGGTTGTCGACCTGCTGCAGGGCAACGACAGAGTCTGGGGGCAGGCTCTGTTGGGCGTCCTGATCGAGTAAGAAGGTCTCGGGTGCGACGGAGCGTGCCTGGGGCGGCGGCATCTGGGCATGGTGGGCGGATGGATACATGGCGGGCTGCAACACCTTTGGGTCTTGTGTTCAGTGGTTTGAGGGAGCCAACGTCAGAGGGTAGGTGCGGAGGAGCAGCACGTGGAATGGGTCGTCGAGGACCTGCCAGGAGTTGAAAACGAAAGAGTGTCAGGCTATGTTTAAAAGGAGTAGACAATAAAACGCGTGAACGTGAGGCGGATAATAAAAACGTGAGGAACCTGCCTCAGATAGCAGTCTCGAGGATGACCACGAAGGGACGGCGTTGGGAGGGGGATGCGAAACGCAAATCTGAGGGGGCAGCGGCAGCTTTAGGTGTCGGAGGGCGAGTGAAACAGGAGCCTAGTCGTCTCACATTGATCTATTTCCGCACGCCAGCCAGCAGGGCGGCCTGTGCGCGTAGCGCGGCCAATTGGGGCTCCGAGAGCCCCGCTCGCGCCCTCCTTGGCGGAC